TTTGAAATACCGACCCAAAAAAAGAAAGTGTATCAGAGTTGTCTAAAGTGAATTTTCTGAGATTCTGACCAGCAAGATGTGTTTAATAGCATATTATAAGCATTTCTTACTCGTTACTTTATGAAAAAAGGTGTTTTGGAGAGCTCTGATAGCCATCAAAGTTTGGTCGGAATATGAAAATTTACTATGTAGACCCAAGATTTCGACAAGGTAGGAGGGGTAGATCAGTGAGGTGATGTAGGCTATTACAGTCTGTGTAACATTGCATTAGTCATGGTTACACAAACACATTATCCTCATTATCATACTGCTTTTTCACAAGGGTTGTGTTTCCTTCATTGATACTCGCTCATTGTAGTGAAGCTACACTACTTTGAGATTGATCCAAATAACTCAACCCACTCCATCATCTTCATAACCATTAAAATGCAGTAGAGAGAACACCACACACATGGATGAATCAAATATTACATAATTAGCACCATATTGATAATCTCTCAAACATGGATCACAATCGAGAATGACTCAGGACCAACTATTATCAATACTTCGTTGCAATATAATATCGATAATCTCTCAAACATGAATCAGAATCGAGGATAACTCAGTACCAACCATTGTCGGTACTTCGTTTCAATCTATATTATCTGAGATGAGCGAAGTGTACCTGTCAAAGAGCGGATATCATACGTCGATACTACAACCGTTGCTGGCGTTATATCCAAGCATACAAGGATATGAAAGACGATCGTGAAGCTGCTAAGATCGTAGAGAAATTTACTTCTAGAAGCTACAAACCCCACCGCAGAATTATTGCAAGTGATTAGTTTGTATTTTTACCTCTGTTATTTCTGACTTTCATAAATAAATGAGTATAGCTATCGATCATGTAATTCCCTGACTAGTGCAAACATAGAGTATGATATATGAAGAAACATATCGGGTGTTTCGGGTGTTAATTTAGCCGTGGTGTTTCAAAAATTCTCAATTTTCGACAGCTCACGGTTTAAGTCAGTATGCACCATATTTTTTTCTTTTACTTCCTCTTCTTTTTGTTATTTTATAATATTCTTGATATTTTTCTTCTTGTTGACCATTTTCATTATTATATGATATTTCAAAATCAATTTGTTTATTTTTTTCATCATATAGAATATTAACATTTTTAATATTGTTTTCAATCATAAAATTAATTATAATTGATCTTTTTATTTTTGATGTAAATTTTTTATGTGTCTCTTCCATTTTGATATTAGTTTTATATATATTATAAAAATTCAATTTTTAAAAGAAATATTATGCAAATTTAGATAAAATTTAAATATCATTGCTCTTTTAAAATTACCATTTGCTGCTTCTTGCCCAAATTAAGAAACCCGTTCAAAACTACATTACGCAGCAACCTTTACCTTGTAACAACCTTTGTCTTCCTTCTTCAATGCCATGCCAACAGAATTTGATGGTAAGTGGTTTATTTCACATTTGTGATGTATGTATAAAAAACTCACTGTTGCTTCTCTCTACAAATAAACTCGAAAGTTATTTGGATGCATGCAAGTGCTCAATGCACTACGCAAAGCTCTCTAAATTTATTGATTCCCATACACCTCTTATATACGAGTACAAGCCAGACGTCGTCAATCCAGAAGATCTCAAGTCCAGTTTCAAACAGGTGTTCAATAGTGCTGCCAGTAAAAATTTGAAGAACATAAGTGATTTATAACTTTCCTTCAATATAATACATATATGTATGTATATGAAAAAGATAGTTTTCTGATTGCCACTTTTTTCACTATAGACTTTCTACACTGCCAATGTAGAAGCAATCGCTTGGGTGAAAATGTCAACTGAAAAGGTGTGTTTAAACTAAAGCTTCCACAAAAACGAGTATTTTAATTTCAATATATGCTAACTATATGTCGAAGGCAAAACACTGGAGCGCAATACATAGTAGCAGTAATGCAAGTAGTGAAGCTGTTGTTGTTGATACAGAGGTATTTGTTTTTGATAAAACTTTAAATAGTTATCTTGACTCGTTGTTTATTTTATATTCATTACTTCTATTATTCTTACTGTTACTATGCAAAGTTGTGCAATGTTCCTACCATTATTGACACGTCTCTCTTGGACCCGCTAAAAGAATACATAAAAGATAAGGTACTCTAATAATTTATATTACTTACGCTTAATTCGAACCAAAGAAAACGCATTTTAACGCCTGTTTTGTCATTTATTAGAAAAAGGGACTGAATCCAGCCATTCCCAATATTCGTGACGTTCATACTGTTGATGGATATCAGCAATATCTTTTCAAGTATTGTCTTGAGTTCATAAAGCAAGATAGATTACTCAAAACCGTCAACGGACCTCTGCAGTGAGTGGTCATATTTTTTTTATCGTTCAATATAGCTAATGGGTAGTCTAATGTGTTTTTTTGTGCAGGCTTGGTCTTTCCGGCATCATTAATACCGTCTCGACAGACAAGACAATCCCCATCGAGGACTATCTTGATAAAAACAGATTCGAGCATTTGGCCAACATCCTGAAGAAAGATGAAATGAGCAAAAAATGCATGGGTGATCCTATCGCAACTACAACAGTGAAGAGTGTATTAAGCGTAAGTATATCGGGTATAACAGAAGTATGGAAGGTGATTTTACTTATGATGTCATTGTGTATGTGTGTATAGAAATACGAAGGCGGTCGTATTGTGGGAGCTCGTGTTTACATACTTAAAAAAAAGCTAGAAATGTTGGAAGATGGCGAGTATACAGCTAAATCTCCAGTAGAAAAGACAGCCTGCACAAAAAAAAAGACAGCCTGCACAAAAAAAAAGACAGCCTATACAAACAGCCTGCACAAAAAAAAAGATAGCCTGCACAAACAGCCTACACAAAAAAAAAGACAGCCTGCACAAACAGCCTGCACAAAAAAAAAAAAGACAGCCTGCACAAACAGCCTGCACAAAAAAAAAGACAGCCTGTATAAACAGCCTGCACAAACAGCCTGCACAAAAAAAGACAGCCTGCACAAAAAAAAAAAGACGGCCTGCACAAACAGCCTGCACAAAAAAAAAGACAGCCTGCACAAAAAAAAAAGACAACCTACACAAACAGCCTGCACAAAAAAAAAGACAGCCTGCACAAAAAAAAAAGACAGCCTACACAAACAGCCTACATAAAAAAAACGACAGCCTGCACAAAAAAAAAGACAGCCTGCACAAACAGCCTGCACAGAAAAAGACAGCCTGTACAAACAGCCTGCACAAAAAAAAAGACAGCCTGCATAAACAGCCTGCACAGAAAAAGACAGCCTGTACAAACAGCCTACACAAAAAAAAAGACAGCCTGCACAAACAGCCTGCACAAAAAAGACAGCCTGTACAAAAAAAGACAGCCTGCACAAAAAATTAAAGATATACGATATCTTTGGCTACTTGTTAAGTTATTTGTTATTTGCAATGAAAAATCATATCACTGTCGATCCATTTTATGTATTCTTATGTAATCGTCATTTTTAGATTTGATATGATACAATTCGACTTTGATAACAAGTACAAGTATAGCATAAACGAGTCCTTTGTGAGATGGCAGTATATAATGCGTGTGTTATTCAGAGGTACCAATGTACATGTAAGAACATAAGTAACTGGAGCTGAAGACAACTTGTGATGATAAACGTAAACAAACTAATACATATGGGGTCTTCAGTGGCAAAGTAGTATCCGAAGCAACAAGAAGCGAAATGATTGACGCCCTTGCCACTGTATCATCTGGTCGTAAAATTGACATGTTTCTAATAACACAGTCTGAAGACGGGGAAGAAAGTTGTGTCGAGTTAGCAGCGAACGAGCATAAGAATGGAAATGCCGAGTTTGATATCGTGATCGAACAACAAGCCAAGAATATCGTCACAAATGTTTGCATCATGTCGCAATTAAGAAAATGGCTCGGTGTGGATATTGGCGTTGGAAGCAATACGAATCCTTTGATCATGGACGTTATTATTATGGACGGAGGGAAAAAGTGTAAAGAAAAGCATGTTTTAGTCACCATAATACGTGTATTAACTTAATGTTTTCCTAGGCCTTCGCGCATACTTGTATAGTGTGGCTAAAACTCAAGATGTATTTGTGGCGTCCAAAGTATCAAATAATTACGTCGTATTGCCAACAACATTAGCTGAGCTCGATGAATTCATTACACAAGGCAGCATTTATCTTCTACTAAATTACTCCGTTAGTTGTTACTGCTTCTATTGGTTCCATATAGACTTCAAGGCTATCAGAGATAAATACTAATATATATTTCACTGTCAAATAGAAATACATTATCACAGCTGCAAACGAAATTGTTGCTTCGACCGATAAAAGTACGAAAAGAAGATTTGAAGCTATTATGAATTACCAATTTGATCCAGACAGCCCCAAGATCTTTTTCTCGGAAAACAAAAAGCCAAAAGCAAGTTAGAAGTTGTAATTTTATTATAAATACCCGATTGACTCACTATCAAAATACATATACCTAACACTGTGGGAAAACATTTGGTTGATTCTTGTGGATATTGGTGAAATCTGGTTAAATCTGGTGACGACCAGTAGTGGATTGTTAAATATGGTTGTTTATGGTTAATTATAGCTTTATGACAGATACAAAAAAAGGTACAAGACAACCAGATCAGTCACTCTTGTTGAAATGGTTATTTCTTGTATATTCTTGTTAAGTATACTCAACTTTAAAACAGAAACGCATCTGTCAGCGTGCATGAAGTATAAAATATGGACACTGATAAAGGAGATTGTTTGCTATGCATTACCGTTCAATCAGTTTCATTCATTAAATTTTTATCAAGTACGCACGTCCTATCACTATGCCCTACATATTTTAATTATTGTTGATTCTCTTGAGTTATGTGCCCCTTTTATCTACATTTCTTTCTCATTTTCAACCCGCAAAACCACGATGCACACACAAAGCTATGATTTAACCTTGAACAAACCCATGGTTTTTGCTGATCAACAAGGCCCGTATTTAGTCTTTTGTAACCGCATAGACGAACTCAATGACCCGTCAGTAGCGTATAGAAGTGATCTGCACTGAAATATTGGAAATGTTGAAGTCGAATAGTAACCAGCAGCAGCAACAAGTTGAAAAGACAGCAACTACACCTATTACCACGGTCGATTTGATAAAGGAGCCTAAAGCACATAATATTAAGAAGGAGCATGTCATGTACCTAGTTATACAGCAAGCAGGTGGATTGGAGGGAGCGGCTGCCGAGTTGGCCATGAATATCTAACAAAAAGCGTCGTCAAAGGAGCCATAACAAGATTAAAAGATGAGCTACTATGCTCTAGAGAAGAGGAAAAAAAAGTTCTGTTGAAATCGATCAAGCAATCCTTACTTGATAAATGCATCATCGAGGTTGAGCAGCTTGCCATAGAACATGCCAACGTACCAATGGGCCGTTGCGTCAATCACGGGGGTGCTCGTCATTTGTACGTCAAGCATGGCGAAATTTCACCAAAAACGGCGACGAGGAAGGCAAAGAAACGCGAAGGTAATGAAAAAGCCATTATGATAACAGTATTTATTATTACCTGCCTATTTGTTTTTGCTTAAGACTGGTTTATAACTGTAGCTAACAACAAATGACGCCGCCTAAAGATAAGCAACAAGGAAGAGGCGGCAAGGGAAAGAAACGAACGCCACCGATTTCGCGTGGCCGCAGGTCGAAAACGGCACGACATTCATAACTGTAAGTGTTTTAATAAGCCAAACAATGACCAACGATAGCAATGGCAGCTAATTCATCGTCAATACCACATAGATTACGAGAGTATATAGATACGACTTTTTATATCCGTCCCTCTTGTTCCATATCCTTAACAATGCATTATTGTACCATCAATCACACAACAAGAAGGCCTGCGTTATTAAATACAAAGAGTAATTATCTAGAAATAAATAGTTACACTATCATGATACCGCTCAGAATTTAAGTAACATTTTCTGGTTATTCTTGGTTCCTCTTATTCTGATAAAATCTGGTAATATATGGTTATTTGTATTCTGATACTATCTGGTCTTTTATGGTTTTATACTTTCTGATAGATACTGGTTGTTCATGTTCCTTGAATCTGGTCATTTATGGTTCTGCTGGTGATTACTAGTCAATTTCTGATTGATTCCAGCTCTAGTCAATTTCTGTTTGATTCTGGCTCTGGTCAATTCTGGAACCAGAAATAACCAGATTCAACCCACAGTGTGACTGGAGCAGACCTGAAATTAACTTTTTTTCTAACAAGTTTATTAGGTCTATATTTCCTGCTCAAATCTTCTAGTCTTATCCCTTCACGGCTCAGCCGACATATTTTGTGAATCATCAGTAAGTTTATTTTGTCTTTCTTGCAATAGTAAATCAGTGTAGCCTGTTATATTAAAAGAGGAGTGGACTGCGAGGGGTTATCATATTGACGCGTGGCGGGATGAGAAAATTTACTGGTGCGTCACCAAATGAGGCAAATTAAGGTTACAAGCGTTCTTTGGTAAGTTACACAAAATATATAAAGTTATATAAATTTTTTTTTTTGATTTTTCATAAAACACTTTTTTTCTTTTTCTTTATCAAAATGTTTAAATCAAATGAAACACTATTTCGAACACTTTACGACGATGAACAAGCTATAATCTATTTACAAAAGTAAGGACTTATAAAACCTTTTATTTATAAAAAATGCGAAAAACCATTATCCATTGGAAAATATTATCAAAGATATCGATTTTATTGTTATCTAGATAATATTAGAAAAGGTATATTTGCCGAAACATTATTTGAAAAAACAAATCTACGACCAATACAAATAGTAGAACTATTACGTCAATGGATGATTGGTATGTATCTTTTATAATATAACATATATAATATTAACTTGTTTTTTTATATAGATCCTTCTCTTATAAAAGTGTCTCTACAAATGGGAATCGATGATGAAACAGTTACACGATTATATTCAAAAATACGCTTTGCGATAAAAACATGGATCCTTAACAATCAAGAGTTATGGAAAAATGTAATTGGTGAACAAGATGAAGTTGTTGAAATCAATGAATGCTGTTTTGGCAAAACAGAAATTACTACTGCAAAGCATAAACGATACAGAAAACATATGTGGATATTAGGCGGTTATCAAAGAAATTCAAATCTGTTCTTTTTGGTGCCTATTCAAAATCGAAAAATGTCAACATTATTACCAATAATCAAGGATCAAGTTTATCAAGGAACAACTATAATCACTGATGGTTTACGATCTTATACAAGCTTAAACAAGATGGGATATATTCATAAAGCAGTTGATCATTTGAAATATTTTGTGGATCCAAATGATTCAACAATATATACTAACAGTATGGAAGGTTTTTGGATGCATTTAAGAAAAACATATGCCCACTATAAAAAAAGATTCTGAGCTATATACATTGTATTTTTAGATTATGCTTTTAGAAAAAGATATCATCATAATTTGTTTGAAATGTTAAAAACAGTTATTATGTATTATAATGAAAATCAAACAGAAATCCAAGATTAATAAAAATACTCTTTATTCTATCAAATATTATATCCACATTTTTTAATTTATTGGTATTATTTTTACTTAATAATTTCTTTTCATACATTAATATATTGTATAATAATTGTAAACAATATTCATCTCTTTGAAAATTTTTATTAATGTTATTGCTATCATTATTTCTTTATCATCATCTGAATTGCTATCATCTGAATTATTATCATCTGAACTATTATCATCTGAATTACCATCATCTGTATAATAACCATCTTCTAAACAATATTCACAATATGTTCTATTACTATCTTCTTTTACATAGCATCTATTATATTCAAAATTCCTACATTTATTATTATTATTATATCTTTTCTTTTTAGTATTACTAATATTAGGAGTACTAAGATTTGAAAGACTTCGTTTATTACTATCATTGTTATTATCTTCTATTTCACTTTTATCTGTTAATAGCTCATCAATATTTTTTTCTCTATTATAATTTTCATTACTTACTAATATATCATTACCTTCTAATGAACTATTATCTGTAACAGATGGTGTTGATAAATTTTTTGTTTTATTATTATTGTATTTTTTTCTTTTACTTCCTCTTCTTTTTGTTATTTTATAATATTCTTGATATTTTTCTTCTTGTTGACCATTTTCATTATTATATGATATTTCAAAATCAATTTGTTTATTTTTTTCATCATATAGAATATTAACATTTTTAATATTGTTTTCAATCATAAAATTAATTATAATTGATCTTTTTATTTTTGATGTAAATTTTTTATGTGTCTCTTCCATTTTGATATTAGTTTTATATATATTATAAAAATTCAATTTTTAAAAGAAATATTATGCAAATTTAGATAAAATTTAAATATCATTGCTCTTTTAAAATTACCATTTGCCGCTTCTTGCCCAAATTAAGAAACCCATTCAAAACTGCATTACGCAGCAACCTTTACCTTGTAACAACCTTTGTCTTCCTTCTTCAATGCCATGCCAACAGAATTTGATGGTAAGTGGTTTATTTCACATTTGTAATGTATGTATAAAAAACTCACTGTTGCTTCTCTCTACAGATAAACTCGAAAGTTATTTGGATGCATGCAAGTGCTCAATGCACTACGCAAAGCTCTCTAAATTTATTGATTCCCATACACCTCTTATATACGAGTACAAGCCAGACGTCGTCAATCCAGAAGATCTCAAGTCTAGTTTCAAACAGGCGTTCAATAGTGCGGCCAGTAAAAATTTGAAGAACATAAGTGATTTATAACTTTCCTTCAATATAATACATATATGTATGTATATGAAAAAGATAGTTTTCTGATTGCCACTTTTTTCACTATAGACTTTCTACACTGCCGATGTAGAAGCAATCGCTTGGGTGAAAATGTCAACTGAAAAGGTGTGTTTGAACTAAAGCTTACACAAAAACGAGTATTTTAATTTCAATATATGCTAACTATATGTCGAAGGCAAAACACTGGAGCACAATACATAGTAGCAGTAATGCAAGTAGTGAAGCTGTTGTTGTTGATACAGAGGTATTTGTTTTTGATAAAACTTTAAATAGTTATCTTGACTCGTTGTTTATTTTATATTCATTACTTCTATTATTCTTACTGTTACTATGCAAAGTTGTGCAATGTTCCTACCATTATTGACACGTCTCTCTTGGACCCGCTAAAAGAATACATAAAAGACAAGGTACTCTAATAATTTATATTACTTACGCTTAATTCGAACCAAAGAAAACGCATTTTAATGCCTGTTTTGTCATTTATTAGAAAAAGGGACTGAATCCAGCCATTCCCAATATTCGTGACATTCATACTGTTGATGGATATCAGCAATATCTTTTCAAGTATTGTCTTGAGTTCATAAAGCAAGATAGATTACTCAAAACCGTCAACGGACCTCTGCAGTGAGTGGTCATATTTTTTTTATCATTCAATATAGCTAATGGGTAGTCTAATGTGTTTTTTTGTGCAGGCTTGGTCTTTCCGGCATCATTAATACCGTCTCGACAGACAAGACAATCCCCATCGAGGACTATCTTGATAAAAACAGATTCGAGCATTTGGCCAACATCCTGAAGAAAGATGAAATGAGCAAAAAATGCATGGATGATCCTATTGCAACTACAACAGTGAAGAGTGTATTAAGCATAAGTATATCGGGTATAACAGAAGTATGGAAGGTGATTTTACTTATGATGTCATTGTGTATGTGTGTATAGAAATACGAAGGCGGTCGTATTGTGGGAGCTCGTGTTTACATACTTAAAAAAAAGCTAGAAATGTTGGAAGATGGCGAGTATACAGCTAAATCTCCAGTAAAAAAGACAGCCTGCACAAACAGCCTGCACAAAAAAAGACAGCCTACACAAAAAAAAAGACAGCCTATACAAACAGCCTGCACAAAAAAAAAGATAGCCTGCACAAACAGCCTACACAAAAAAAAAGACAGCCTGCACAAACAGCCTGCACAAAAAAAAAAGACAGCCTGCACAAACAGCCTGCACAAAAAAAAAGACAGCCTGTACAAACAGCCTGCACAAACAGCCTGCACAAAAAAAGACAGCCTGCACAAAAAAAAAAGACGGCCTGCACAAACAGCCTGCACAAAAAAAAAGACAGCCTGCATAAACAGCCTGCACAAAAAAAAGACAGCCTGCACAAAAAAAAAAGACAACCTACACAAACAGCCTGCACAAAAAAAAAGACAGCCTGCACAAAAAAAAAAGACAGCCTACACAAACAGCCTGTATAAAAAAAACGACAGCCTGCACAAAAAAAAAGACAGCCTGCACAAACAGCCTGCACAGAAAAAGACAGCCTGTACAAAAAAAGATAGCCTGCACCAAAAATTAAAGATATACGATATCTTTGGCTACTTGTTAAGTTATTTGTTATTTGCAATGAAAAATCATATCACTGTCGATCCATTTTATGTATTCTTATGTAATCGTCATTTTTAGATTTGATATGATACAATTCGACTTTGATAACAAGTACAAGTATAGCATAAACGAGTCCTTTGTGAGATGGCAGTATATAATGCGTGTGTTATTCAGAGGTACCAATGTACATGTAAGAACATAAGTAACTGGAGCTGAAGACAACTTGTGATGATAAACGTAAACAAACTAATACATATGGGGTCTTCAGTGGCAAAGTAGTATCCGAAGCAACAAGAAGCGAAATGATTGACGCCCTTGGCACTGTATCATCTGGTCGCAAAATTGACATGTTTCAAATAACACAGTCCGAAGACGGGGAAGAAAGTTGTGTCGAGTTAGCAGCGAACGAGCATAAGAAAGGAAATGCCGAATTTGATATCGTGATCGAACAACAAGCCAAGAATATCGTCACAAATGTTTGCATCATGTCGCAATTAAGAAAACGGTTCGGTGTGGATATTGGCGCTAGAAGCAATACGAATCCTTTGATCATGGACGTTATTATTATGGACGGAGGGAAAAAGTGTAAAGAAAAGCATGTTTTAGTCACCATAATATGTGTATTAACTTAATGTTTTCCTAGGCCTTCGCGCATACTTGTATAGTGTGGCTAAAACTCAAGATGTATTTGTGGCGTCCAAAGTATCAAATAATTACGTCGTATTGCCAACAACATTAGCTGAGCTCGATGAATTCATTATACAAGGCAGCATTTATCTTTTACTAAACTACTCCGTAAGTTGTTACTGCTTCTATTACTTGTATATAGACTTCAAGACTATCAGAGATAAATACTAATATAAATTTCATTGTTAAATAGAAATACAGTATCACAGCTGCAAACGAAATTGTTGCTTCGACCGATAAAATAACGAAAAGAAGATTTGAAGCTATTATGAATGACCAAGTTGATGCGGACAGTCCCAAGATCTTTTTCTCAGAAAACAAAAAGCCAAAAGCAAGTTAGCCCTAGGGTAGGAGGATAGAGTCCTAGGGTAGAGCAGTTGTAGTATTCTTATGATCCATCAATGTACCCGCTTGATTCACAATCATGATACATATACCTACTAGACTACGCTGTACATACATATGCAATAATGATTACTTTGAATCATAAACCAATTCATAAATACCTGTAAAGATACACTAGGTCAAAAAAGTGTCCCAATGATTGGAACATTTGGATACTTTCTCTTTTTCCTCTTGATATACTGAACCAATCAATGTGAAACTTTGTGTTAGAGATGGTGTGAATATGCACAAGCGGACTTCAAAATAATATAATGATGGGCAGAGTATTAAAGGAGTAGGAGCTATTTTCTTTTAAAGATATAAGTATTAACTATAAATTTTAAATCTTTTTTTGAAACATCAAATATAAAAACAAAGAATATTTAATTTATAAACTGTTGAAAAATAACAACAAGAATAAAGATTAATTTTAATCTTGCTTATTGTAAATATCTTTCTATCAATAAATTTTATAAGTTATTGGGAAATACAAATTGTAAAACTGAAAATAATCATATAACTAATTAAATTCCTTATTAGGAAATTTGTTTTTGAAAAAGGGAATTTTTTCTCTAATAGTAAGAATAATTTAAAGTCCAAAATATAATATTTATGAAAATTTAATAATTTTTTCAAATATACAGTATTTAGTACTTATTAAAATTTTATATTCAAATATCTGATAAAACATTTTCTATCTTTTTCCAATAAGTTATATTTGACGTGTTTATATAAAAATAATATATCACTATATTTTATTTTTAGTTAAAAGTTATAGAATTGTAATTTTATTTATTTCTATAGTAACAGATTAATCAATAAGATTAAATATATAGATTATCAATCTACCATTAAAATTATTTTCTACTAATACATAAAATTAAATTCTACTAATAAATAGATTTCTACTAATAATTAAAATAAAACTCAGTAAGTATTAGTATACTCTCTTTTCGGTGACAATCTGTAACAATTAATTTTACTGTAAACAGTAAATTGATTTTGTTACTATAGTATATAGTCAACCATATTATGTTATAGTGTTCTATACATGATTGGAGGAACATTACCTTTCCACTGATTTATATTGATTAATAACATTTATTCTGTTTCAGAATGATTTCCTAAAAAATATCTAACATTTCAAAAACAAAAAAAAATTATTCATTTTTTTTTATCTTTTCCATAAAATTTTAATTTATTAATTTTAGTAGATTAGTTAATCATGGCTATATTAATATTTACGGTTTAGTTCCCTTTGAAAATGTATTCTGATCTGTAATTGCTCTTGTTGGCATAATCGGTCAAAACAAACTGGATGATGCGAGTGAGTTGCCTTTCGCTCAGGGAGATGTTGGATGGTAATCGATAGGTCCACAAAGTATACGGGAGCTCCTTGTACGGTTGCTGCAAAGTAACTGATATATGGATAGGAGCTGCTTGAGAGATTTGAGGGACTGTTGGTCTATTACTTCTGCTTCTACAACCTTTTTCAAATCATCAGAGAGACAGCAGTTGCAAGGCATGATTATTGTAACGATATCTTTGAGCTTCAGGATTGATTCTGCTGTAATTTTTGGTAGGTTGGGAGCAAAAATTTCATCTGCAGCTGCAAATGTGTACACATGACGTTTTCCTGGAATTGAGACAATCCTGGCTTTCTTGGCAGGTTTGGCTGTTTCTCCATCTTCCTCATGGGAGTGCTTGTTTAGGTGAGTAACATTGATATGCGACTCAAGCTTGGTTTTCAACTCGCAGTAGAAAAGGCAAGAAGGACAGGCATGTTGCTGTTTGATATTGTTATTCTCGATCCCCGTATCTATAGCAACAAACGTGATATCCTTGGTGCTGATGTTTCTAGCACCAGTTTTATGCGACGGCAGCCTGGTACCATGTACTATTTCCAAGTGATTATGTAAATTTTGTGGCGTTATGAATGTGTGATTTTGTGTGTCCGGCATGCATAGCAGGTGTTAATTAATGTGATTAGTTGTGTTGATATGGTGACCAATAGAAGTGTAGAATGCTAGGGACAACTGAGGTGAGTTTTATTTTTCTAGGTGTGCTATAAAGCGTCGAGTCTTATTTCAGACCACGTTGTTGTGGGCTCGGACTAAAAAAGCAGTGAATCTTGCGCACCACACAAGCAACTATAGTTGTCGTATAGTGAAAGCGGCGGGAGCTTAAGGTAAGAGATGGCATCGTGTATTTGCTCGGAGGTCGGCGAGGTGGAGTAAAACTGACGCCAACATCGTTCCTACACGATAACTGGGGTGAAATGTCCCTTTCATCGTGACGCAGTTTTCAGGGTGTATGAAGAGTGTTAGTTTTCGCGGTTGCATATGCATAGCAGTAATTTCGTCGTTGCTTTTTTGTATCCATCACTACTCCTCAATTAGAGGAATTTTCGATTCCATCATTTTCTCCCCCCTTCCTTGTGTATTTCGTTTGTCAACCCTATATTGTAAACCGTCAATCTGTAGCATAGGTGCATATTACATCTATTGTCACGGTCTCAGTTTCCATCATTTACACAAAAAACAGACAACTTTTTAAATCTACACACATCATTTGGTGTCTTCTAACAGAAACGGACATAGTCTTGCATTTCCACTCGTAACAGACATAAGGGTCAATTAATAGCGTGGACACCGCTGCTACGCCCGCAAATTGATCTAGCAAATGGAACCACCAAAACCGAAGTCTGGCCAAAACGTTCTGTATGGCTATGGCTTTTTTAAATGATGTGCTAAAGCAAATAACTGGACGGATGATGGCAAGCTGTTACATGCTCCAAACTACATGTACAGCAGAGCACAACGGTGGACGTTACGCAACGAGTTCTCAACATAGTGTGAATTTGTCGTTTGCTTTCGGCGTGCATTTAGTGAACGCGTCAATTATCGCAAGGTGCCCTAGTCTATCATGGAGCTACACATGGGTTCATTAGAGACGCTCACCTCATATATTGACTAGTTCGAAGACCTCCGGTGTCAGCTTATTGAGACTTAAGAAGCCCTGTAATTTACAAAATACACATAGGACATCGTTCAGTTGGTCTTCGAGTTTCGAAAGATCCGTTGTAAGCTTCTTAATTTTGCTATCACGTCATTGATTGCGTCCTTTTGCCCATCTCGAACGATTGACTTGCTAACAAGACGTCTCGTTGCGTTTATTTGTTGGATTAGCTTGTCAAGAGCATCCTCAAGTCTATATCCTTTAACGTTGGCTCACGCAATTCTTGTGGCAGTTGGGCATGTGATGTTGATGCCACGTCTTGTTCTAACCAAAGTTGATGTCTGGCCATTGTTTGTTTTTTTTAAGCGCGCAAAGTTGCGTCGAGTTTTACTGGTAGTAAATGGTTGGTCATCAAAACCAAGGCCCAGTGAGCCCGCCATAAGCCATGAAGGATTGCTTTGATTATAATGTGACTACGAGTGCTCGATAGATCCGGTGAAAATTATAGATGGAAGACAGCGGCGTGAATTTGTGCAGCGTCAACAGACAGCAGTAGGAGATCACGCCAGACAGAGCGCCATATGCAACGTTTTTTTAGAAGATCGCAAAGGAAGTGGTAAAGATCATTGATAACCCATTGACGCACACAGGACTTTTGTTCGAGGCAGATTCGACTGGCAAAAAGTCGATGTAGCGTATCACGGCAAGATACCTTTTGGTTTTGGTGAAATGCCTGAAACCAAAGGTTGCGCCGGTACAGCCTTAGTAGTTGACCAAAAGTGCCTCCACTCTTGTTTGGACGGAAAATCTTGAATTACTGAGACTGGATATAGGCGGATGATGACGAAATCCAAAATCACCAAATATGCACCAGCGGACAAGAAGCTGGACATCATGAGGTGCTGTGGCTGGATCAAATCCAGGTGCCACTAGATTAGAACTGAAGCAGGCGCGATAGAAGAAAGGATGGTGTAGAAGTTGTCCCGAATCAAGCATGACGTAGAGGCTGGAAACGATCGGAGGAAAACGTTCTGGTTCATCCATTGTTTTTCGTCTCAGGCACCAGAGTTGGAAGTCGGGATAAAGATATCTGAAACTAGGATCAGATGGCGCGCTAGTGCCATGAGTGATTTATCGACTGCCAGAGGATGCGGTTTTGGTAGTTGGCGATTGTGTCGAGGATCAGGTAATACGGACCACACAACACACAATCGACATTTCATACAAGCCAATTCAATTCTCGGCAACGGTTGACGGCAAGGAGGTATATCTTCTAACACTGTGCTTTTCAGTGATTGACTTTGATAAAGTATCAAGTGCACCCGACTCGAAGTATTCGCTTTGACCTGTTTCTGAAAGATCCACAAGATCCAGGATCGACGAAAGCCCACCGCTAAATTTTTTATATATGAGTCATTCTACTTTTAATAAATAGTAGTTACTTCAGAATCAAATTTGCCTCGTGCGTTTATGTTCCTCTTTCGAGAGTTTCGTTCCAGCCTTATAAGCATTATGTAATTCAATAGCTCGGCGTTTGATAATCGTTCCAACTGACATCTGGTCGTCTTCTTTGTTGTCTAAATACAATTCATGTTCACTATCTCTAAATATAAAAGTGTACCTTTGAAAATAACCGCGTCGTCTCTGGCGAGTTTTCTTCATCCATTGACCGTGCCCGTTCCACAGAAGAACCATCCACTTCTTCTATATCTTTTTCCAGTTGACGTCCAAAACTCTTCTCTTGCAGGATTGCCTATCGTCGAGCATTAATTGAGCCTTCTTGTCTTGCATCCATGTTTAATACTTTGAATTCAAATGCTTGTGCGAACAGCTGAGTGAATCTTTTTCGCTTCATAAACGTTTCAAGCTCGTTGCAATAGGCGCACAAAGCCAAATGGAACTTGCGTTCAGTAAAGAGCTTGTCAATCCAGTCTTTGCACAGCTGCAAAGCCTCGGATGCACTGTTCAACAAGGTCCCTCCTTCTTGTTGTGCCATGCCCCTGCGCAAGCAGTTTTGGATCAAGCCAATATCCAAGCTGTAATTTTAGTTTGTCAATCGTGGCAACACCAGCCCCATATGCGACGCTTAATCCGTGCAGTTTGGGTGAATTCTGCATGTTGTTGTAAAAAAGAGAAAAAGGACCCTAATTTATATATTTTTGTGCTGCGTTTAGTGGATTGAAAGTTGCCAACGTTCTTTTATTGAACTCGCGCCATTCGTCGATCGTCACACTTGCTTCTTGTTGCCGTCACCAGGTTTCTGGTTCACCCTTCGTTTGCCATCCTTGTGTTCGGCAAGTTTGAAAGCTCTTGATTCTGTTTTTCGCCCAGTAAACCGTTCTTGCACTACCAATATTGCATTTCTAAGTATTACTTGAGATCAAATGTTACCGTGTTACACAGAAAGACGTGCTTCAATTGTTCGTGTATGAAACAGGTATAGTGCATTGGCGGAGGATATTGTCCATTAGGTCACACATTGTGTGGGCAATAAGAATAATAATGCGGTTCCTGATGAGAAACTATATTCAATATCTCTCTGGCCCGACAAGGAAAACATAGCTTGACAACCTGTTAAAAGCAGTCATATATTGTAGTGCTTCTCCATCAACTAATACAACATCGTGACAAAGAATTTCTCTTTGCGCATATTAGTTATAAGTTGTCGACAAAGAATGCTTCAGAGTTGACGCGGGGGGTGGGGGGGCTGAGGAACTCTATGAAGGGTATTTTGTGATTTGGGTCTCTAAAATTTAATAAGATTTTCATTGCCAATCTAATGAAAAACAAGGGCACTAATGACAATAGAGCCTATTATGAACTATTCGTAATTTATTACTTCTTTAGGTCCAGACCCTTTTCGCACCACCCCCACCTTGGGGTCGGTGTTCAGACTCCTCCTCCCCTCCCCCTCCCCCCAAATTCACATCATTTCCACTACGCAAACCCAGTATTAGATATGCGAGTTTATGTATGCACTGCCAGTTGAAAGTACATGGCAGGGCTCTATTATTTACATAACAGATCGAATGCAAGGACACGCACCACAACGCGAAGAGCTGGTTACTTTTGCTCCAAGGCGCCGCTCCCTCTCACTGTGCTTCACGTCAATCAGCGATCAGTCTGTTTAAACAACAGCTAAAACAAAAAGAAGTGTGTTTAAGATTCATCAGCAATGGGACGTCGGAACGCTCGGAGGATCTTTTTTTATTTTTGGGGGCTGACTTTTGAGATAATTATAACCTGGTTGGGTTGCCAAGGAGAGAGAGAGAGAGAGAGCGTTTATATGGAATGTATTGGGTGGTACTGCTACCTTCTCTCTTCTTCTTCTTCTTTATCCCCTTTTAAACTTATACCTTGTATTATCCTTTGCTGGTGGAGAGAGATAGAGAAAGAGTGTGTGGTGTGAAGAAGCAAAAGAAAACCCGCAAGACAACAACACACGACACGGCACGAAACACACACACATAGAAGGGTCAATGGACGCTTATTACGACGACACAACCTTTGTTTTTGAAGAGAACGAAGATCCTTGTTGCAATGGATGCTCGAAGCCCATTGAGGACGGTTCAGTCGTGCAATTCGGTGACGGCATTTGGCACTTTGAATGGTAGGGCTTCTTTCTCTTACTCATATTTGACGAAAGAAAGAAAGAAAGAAAGAGAGAAAAAGAGACAAAAAGGGCCACCCCTTCTTTCTCCCTCTCTTTACATTGGCCTTTTTTCTCCCTCTCCTGGCTAACTCTATTGTGTGTGTGTGCTCTGCACTCTCCTCACTTCCCTGGGAAGAGAAAGAAAAGGGCACCACTCAAGACGTACTTTTGTGTGTGTGTGTGTGTGTGTCTCTCTCTCTCTCTCGCTCTCTTTTTTCTTTCTTTCATTCTTTCTGTATTGTCCTTGTTTCCTCTTACTTGTATAACCTCTCTTTTCCAATAATAATGCTAACCGACACGAAAACGACAATAATGGATATTTGCAGCTTCCGTTGTGCGAAATGTCAAAAACTGGTCGAATGCTACAGTAACTTACTACTTCTCCGCGATGGAAGTCCAATATGTGAAGATTGTTCTTATAGCTGTCATGCTTGTCATGAAGCCATTAAAGATGAGGCCATTATGACAGGTAGAGAAAAAATGACTATTTTCCTTTCAGGCCAATCCATGATATTGAACTTTTTAATTTTTTTACCGGTAGGCGACGAGGCATACCACGCTGATTGTTTCCGCTGCGTTCAATGTAATATCAGAATCGAAGATCTCGTATTTACACAGACTAGCAAGGTAAAGGGAAAGATACAATGGATGGTGTGGGGTCTAGTAGTGTACACTAACTACAACAAACATAAAACGGTAACGATTTTGCATGATGCAGGGTATTTTCTGCACAGCGTGTCACGAATTACGAAAACAAATGCGTCAAAAACGAAAGGAAGAACGTCTTTTACTTCAGCAACAACAGCAACAACAGCAACAGCAACACGCAAACGATAGTAACTCTTCTTCTACGCTCGTCCGGGACCCCTTGTACCGAATTCAGGTACGTCTGTTTGTACCTTATTCAAGGAGGGAGAGCGAAAGAGTTTTGTAGTATTTTATTGTCTTAACCTGCCTTCGCTCTTTCTTGAATCCAGCTTGGTCTTCAACGAGGCGATTCATTGGATTCTACCACGGGCCGAGGTATCGTTGCAAACAAAGAACGAAGAGGAGGTATCTCGGGCAATGATTCTCGACTCGACAGTATCCTGAACGACAAGGATCAAGGCACATCAAAGAATGTTATCCTCAGTAAGTGCAAAGCATGATATCATACACGAATTTTATGACAGGTGATCTAACAACCATAATAATACAGGTTCGCGTGAACTCAGCGAACTTAATCAGATGCTGAATACTGGACTGACAGAAGATCAAAGTTCGCCTGCAGCAACAAAAGCAGCAACCAATACGACCACCTCACACGAAAACATCCCTAGCCCACCCAGAACCCGAGGGTCAAGCTCTCCATCATCTGACGTCACATTTCAATCGCTTACCGATGAAATCGATGCCGTCGAACTCCCTGCCTCTATTGATCCTTCTTCAGCAACCGACGAACAGACTCGAATAGCACAGCTAGAACGTGAATTACGAAGCACGAAAAGCCAGCTTAAAGAAGTCGATACCAAGTTTAACAAGATCAAGGTGAAAAAAAACCCTCAAGACATTTTATTATTTTGTAAAACATTGGAACTTTAATATGCTTATCAACATGGAAAACTGGAACGCAAACGCACATTTTAGGCAATAAGCAGGAAAGCGCTGGACGAATTCCATATTGTTAAAGAAGGCTATGCCGCCGAGGTCTCTGCTCGACAGAATGCCGAAGCCATAGCAGCCAAATTGAAAGCAGAGCTCTTGGTTTATCATCAAGCATCCATCTTTGGCAACGGTGAAGCAATCACAATCACAAAAAAGCAAGTCGAAAGTTTGGGTCAGATGAAGGCTGCGCTTGAACAACTGTGCAAGGAACTCCGTATCCATCGCGATGAACTTGTGTTTGAGATGACGAATGCGGCTGCCACTCGAATGTCAACGGATGTGGTATGGGAAAAGAACCATCAGGCGAACCAACAACAGCTACGATCGGTCCAAGGCGATATCGAGGCTGCCAAATTGGGATATGCGCGCCTTGTCAAGGCTCGAGATGATATTATCAACGAAATGATCATGCTCAACACCAAAAACGCCGAGTTGACGACACTGAACAATGACTTGTCGCGACGTGTCACAGAACGTGAACGTGAAGCTTTGGCTGTGATGGCTGGTACAAGCTTTTTGGGCGATGACAGTAATAATAATACCAGCAACAAAAGTGGTAGTGGTGCTGCTGCGTCGGATGGTAATGCCAACAAGCAGCCACAACTACACCTGCAGCAACAAGATTCAGGATTGGATCTCAATAATAGCGTATCTTTGGAAAGAAAATCGTCGGATCATCAGAACGTTCGCAAGATTGCTCAACGCGATAGTATTAGCAAGGCAGAGCCGCCCAAGATGTTCAAGTTCCGTCGCAACAAGTTTGGTCGTCGCAACAACAGCAACAGTAAAAAGAACAACACGAATAATAATAGCGACAAGGAGAATGACACTACAATGACGATCGGTGTGCCCTATGATGCCAATGTCGCTGGTCAGCCGCTCGGCAATGCTGGACCGGAAACTCTACAACAGGGCAGTCGACAAAAGACGAGTAACAATAACGAGCTTATCAAGGAATTGGAAAACACGGCTGCGCGTGGTCGTGCCGGACACAACTTTGCACAAACGCGTTTCTTGCGACCCTGTAAATGTGATGTGTGTAATGAAAAGATGTGGCGTGTCAGTGAACTCAAATGCCAAGGTAAGGAAAAAAAAAGAAGTATACATTATTTTGTCATGTGCCAAGTAGATTTACGACTTGTAATAGATTGTGGATACATTTCACATTTCAGGTGTATGCATAATGTATCAGCCAGCTGTACAGGACGCTTAAATCCAGATGGTACTCGGCATGAAGGTAGGGCTATTACTACCACTCTTTTTATTACTATACTCACTCCTTTGTGTAGCCATGTTTGGCAACGATCTTGTAGCGCAGGTCCGCTCCGAGAACGGCACTGTACCGAAAATCGTGCAAAAGTGCATTGAGGCTGTAGAAACCCGAGGCATGGATTTCGAAGGAATATACCGCAAGTCGGGTGCTGCTGGTCAGATGCGGCTTATCCAGCAAGCCTTCGAGAACGGAGACGAAACATGCAATCTATGTGACGAGGATCAATGGAACGATATCTGTGCCATTACCAGTGTATTGAAGCAATACTTCCGAGACCTGCCCAATCCATTGTTCACACATGAAATGCATAGCAACTTTATGGATGCTGCCAGTAAGTTCTCGTTCTTGTTGCTGCTATTGCAAGACGTTCTTTTTCCAGTATTTAACGGACTGTGTGACCTGTGTGTGTGTGTATACAGAACCATCATCATCTACCGATCAACAATTCGCACTCTATCAAAAAGCCATCCACTCACTTCCTTCTGAAAACTACAATACGCTCAAATACCTGATGCAACATCTCGACAAGGTGCAGCAACAGAGCCAGGAGAATCTCATGACGACCAAGAATTTGGCCGTGGTCTTTGGACCTACATTGATGCGCAACCGGGATGAGGGGCTAGACATTGTTGACATGAATCACAAGATCAATGCGATCGAGTATATTCTGAGCCATTTCAAGACCTTGTTTGCTGACCCAGCACCAGGACAACACAACCATTCATCGCCGTTGCCTTCGGCATCCAGTCGACGCAACTCTCTATCCGTGGCTGCACGCAAGCACCATCGTCGTGAACTTTCCACGGATGATCTGCTTCGTCAGGTGCCACCAGCAGTGCCACCAAAACAAAACGCAGGCTATATCTAGAGCTTCCTCTTTTTCCTACTTTCTTTTCCAACCCGCATATTCTTCATTTCATATAAACCCCCCCCAGCACAGCATTATCGCGTGGTTTATATATGCATTAACTGATCCACGCACACCCACACACACACTATATACGTATACATATATATATAACTCTCCCTCCTTCACAAATCGATCCACCCTCTTTTCTCTCTTTCTTGTAGTATGTTCTTTCTGTTTTGTACCCTTTCTTCTACTCCAAACCACCACCACCACCACCCTCTGTTTCCTCTATAATTTAGTGCCTCATGTATATCACAAGCAACCTCCAAAAACACTGCAAAACAAGCTTTTGCTGGTTCAAAAGTTTCATTACAACAAACGAGAAAATTTACAACCACATCATCTTTCTTTCTTGTATTTGTTACCTCAAAAATCATGCCAAAGGTTCTTTTGTTTAAAACAAAGGAGAGTTGTAAAACCCATCATGATAAAACAACAACAACAACAACAACAACAGAAGACGAATACCAACTTGCCCTTGCACGTCACAACTATAACGTCAACTTTATACCCGTTCTTGATTCCAAAAGTGAATCAGTTACGTTCATTCAACAACTCTTGGCCAAACCACCACCCACTACCATTGGTAGTATCATCTTTACTTCACAACGCTCGGTCGATACTTGGGCCATTGCTTCTTCAAACATAACTGTCCACCCTCAATGGCGGTCACTCCATGTATTTATTGTTGGCACCAAAACGGCCGAGAAACTGACCCAACTAGGATTCTTTCACGGCACTGTACCTACCATTGTTAAAGATCGCGCTGTACAATTAGCCGACGCCATGATTCCTTTTCTTTTGCAGCAGCAAGGAGGCAAGCAAGGCGTATTGTTTCTTGCAGGCGATAAACGCATGAACGAGTTACCGACGCGTTTGACAAAAGCAAACATACCGTTCCAAGAAGTGCGAGCCTATTCCACATGTGCCCACCCGGACCTTACACAGCGTTTGTTGTCTTCTTCTCAGGCACATGGGTTACCGGACTGGGCCGTGTTTTTCAGTCCCTCCGGTGTCAATTATGTGTTGGAACGAAACCCTGAGCTCGTCGACACGATTCCAAAGCTTGCTGCCATTGGTGCGACCACAGCAGAGCATATGCACCAACGCGGATTGTCGGTGGCTGCTGTAGCATCCAAACCGCGCGCTCTTGAATTGGCTGCTGCTATCGCTGAACATGATCATGATCAATAGACTGTCATAAAATTGTATGGGGGAAGGTAACATTTTATTTTCGAATAAAGAATGTATATAGTGTCAAGAATCTAAGTGCCATTCTCCAAAGTAGATTCTCGGTTGATGATTCTCAATGCTGGCTTGCTGTTCTTATCATCATCGTCCGCAGGAACAAGGGAAAGATCGTAACTGTGGATAATGGTAGAGATAATTGCCTTCATTTCTTCAATCGCAAACCATCGTCCTATCATAAATCCAATAAAGCATTAATTCTTCTATATCCTTTCTTTTTTATTATATGTGTAAGGAGAGGAGATTACCTGGACAAGCGTGTCTATTTTGTAAAAAAAAAAGGCCATTGTGCGTTAGTATGCACATCATGTTTCGACTATGTATCGATGAAAGTACACACACAGGTTGTGCTATTCTGACAGTTCTACATTTTTTTTTTACCTTCCCAAACCAAACATGAGATAATCCGCACTACACTTTGTCGATTGTTTGTCACGTCCCACAAACCGGAAAGGCTTAAACTCGGATGGATCTTCCAGATCATTCTGTACGGTTTTGTCAAAGTTGACATGCCAGAAATTGGTATAAACTTCTTCCCCTGTAATAAATATATGGGTATTTTTTTTTGTGTTATGATGGGATGCGTTTTTTCATATTGGAAGCGGTCTAACTGACTGAACACGAATAAAACGTAATTTTACCAGGTCGAATGACTGTGCCATTGCTCAACACAACATTTTCCTTGCTGACATTGGTATGTGGATGTGCTAAATCCTTCATAGAGTATCGGAACGATTCACGAATAAAACTGTCCAATTTCACCAAGCGTTTGTAGTAGGAAGAAGCAGGACCCTCTTGTCCTTGCTCTTGTTGTTCTTTACGTAGTTCTGAAATGGATTCGGCAGGCGATTTCGCCAGTTGGTAAAGAACACCAACGAGTGTCCCCGATGTCGTCAACACGCTCGTAAACGTCATCAAGATAAACCATATCGTGATAGCGTCCAAAACGGTATCTCGGTCTATGTGTCCTCCTTGCTTGCTGTTGTTTGAAAAGAAGTATTCTTTAAGAACGTATCCGAGTACGTCGTCATTGTCCTTGATGGATGAGAAAATTATACTTAGTTGTTGTATGTAAGGGAGATTAAGAAAAAAAAAACAATGGCACGCCTTATTAAAACCTCAAGCGTCGGCCAAGCGCTATACTACAAAGCTTACTTGTTTTTTGCTGTTGTTGTGTTCAGCATCATTTAACCGACGGAACACCTCGTCTTTGACACCATCACGGATCTTTTGTACACTCTTTTTCACGAATGCATTGCGAGGATAAAAGACACTGTTAATTTTTTTTTCTGTGTTAATATGTATATATAACTTTTGACAAGAAAGAGGGTAAAAAAGATGAGTCGGCTATTTCCTTACCGTTTGTAAAGGTCGTTCCACCATGGCAACACGCTCCGAGCTGCGTTTGGCAACAGGATCTCTTTCATGCAGTCGTCTGCAACATGCTCAAACATATGCATGAGCTCCTTGTTTTCGGTGATAGCCGTGCCGGCCATCGTGTAAGCAGTCGTACGGGCAACAAAGGCTCGAGTTAATTCATTGACGTTGGTAATGATTTTGGGCTCTATACATACATCGTTGCCAATTGTTTAGTTTCTCCTCATCGTTGTAGAGCAAATGATCGTAGTGACTCACCTCTTAGATCACCAAGCACTTGTGCAGCAACAATGGCAGTCTACATAATGCATAAATCCATGTTATTACATGTGCAGTTATTCAATTAATCGATGGTCCCTTTAATAAAAACTCTCTACTTTCTCTGTACTGTACCTGTTTCTCAAAATGCCTGCTGTAAGTTGATAATTTCTGCGTCATATCCTTGGATATGATGTCTCGAAGTGCGTGTTCAGGCAAATCGTTATGCAAATGTTGAAGGAACAACGGTATATCAAAGAACTATCATAGAATCATATGAGCAACACTATTAGTTAAAAAAGCAGCCAATTTGAATATGCAATCTAAAGTTCCATGAATCACAACCCGTACTTTTTGTGAACTTTGGACAAAGTTCAAATTAGGGTTCATGAAAACTTCATGTGCAAGGTTTCCGCCAACTACTGTAACATACTATCGTGTTGCCGGAGAGAAGAAACAAACATATTGAGTAATAGTAACCCCCCCCCTAAAGTCAATCATTCCATGATAAAACGAACCTGGCCAAGTAGATGCACCCGAAATGCAGGTCCGTACTGTATGGTTTTCTCTCTGGTAAACTTGTCCGGATCCGTGAAATAGTCCATGGTCGAGCCAATGATAGGCCATTGATATGAAACGATCGGTGTAGGATCATCCTGTGCTTTAGATACACGCCTGGTTGCATAATATGCCAAAAGGAGAGCAGCTGCAGTGGACGTTGTTGTTACAATCAGTGTGTTTGTATGGTTTCCTCCTCCTCCGGTGCCACCACCAGCAGCAGCAGTAATGATGTCGATGTGTTGATACAGTTGAGCTACAGCGTCACGGATGGTATTGACGAGAACCATTTTTTATTCTCGTTATGTTTCGCTATGTTCGTAGTAGATGATAAATGTTCCCTTGAGAAGGTTTATTTATACTTGGTTTTTGCTCGGCGAGTAGATTTCCTTTTTGGTAGAAAACTAGCCGCGCCTCGCTGCTCTGCTCAGCACACACGGTTCTTGGCTGCTACGGGAACGGCTTTATTGTTATCTATTCTATCTAGTAGAAACACAGCATGTGTCTCATGGCAAAACAATGACGGGGATCGCTCGCCTTTGGTTTTGAAAGTTTTTAAAGAAAAACAGTCCCTTGACACCATACAGGCCGTCATTTCAGAACCTTGCTATTATTTATTATTATCAATACAAGGAGAATGGCTCTTTTAAAAGAAAAAGGCAAAACGGGCCGCATACAGGATGCTGGGATCAAGAATAAATATTAATGGGTTTGCGATGTATACACACATACATAGATACGTACGTACGCAAGTCTTGCTCTCCCCCGTTTCTCGGGGGGCTGCGGTGCGTTTCGCTATCGGCCAATAAGTGACTTCGTTCCGCCATCTGCTGTGCTTCACTCTGATCAAATTTTTTGGGTTGTGAGTTTTTTTTTTTTCTCCTCTTACCTGACTTCGGTGCACTTTCCACTCCTCTACTCCCCTTACCTGCACCAACCTCTTTTCTATAAAAGCATGTACGTATTGTAATTACTATCAACAATTTTTTTTATTTTTTTCGTTGTTCATTACTCACTTGCCTTATAATTGCATTGCTCTTACACACAACACACACACACACATTAAAAAACAAACATTTGCCCAATCTTGGAAAACCGAGAGGTTTTTCCTTGTGTACTTTTAACAAATCGAGTACTTGAGGCAAAGCTGTAAATCTTTTTTGTGGTGTTAAGTGTAGCGTAATGCAATAGGGCGGTGATTCTTTTTTTTACTGGAAAACCCTTTACAATGCCGATAAGAAAAAAGCTCATGATTGAACTAAAATATATTTTCTACTGGGAAAAAAAAGCCACTAGGTCCTTATTTGCTAGGATATGCAACTTTTGTGATTTCAACTAATGAATAGAACTCCAACTACATCCGAAACCAACAGCGCCAAGTCAACTACCCAAGCAGTGTTCAACTACGCAGAAGCTGCAAAGCGAAGCTCTCAGATTCAGGATCAACGTTCTTCTAGCACAACAGCCAATAACAACAACACCGCCGTTTCTTCGTCCACTTCGTCATCCTCGTCTTCCGCATCTCCTTCTAACAACAACAGCAACAACAATAATGATGACAAAAAAGGCAACAGCAGTGCAAAAACAAACGGTGGTGGTAGTACTGCATCAGTAAATGGTGGTAGTAACAATACAGCATCCGCAGTGAATCCACAGCAACCCTCATTTGCATCGACATTGGCCAACAGCACATCCGCCTCCAATTCGTATCCTTTTTTTTTAAATTTACCAAGACTAACTTTCTATATCTCAAATAAGTGTGGGTGTGTGGGTGGGTGTTTTGGAAGGAAGAGAGACACGGCAGGAAAGTAAGGTTAGGAGGGGTGGAGGGTGATGTCGCCCTTATCGCACTCACACACACACACCCTTGCTAACAACGGTCGCTAGTGGCGTAAATGATTTCATTCATGCGCTTCCTGGGGATGATAAAGGGGACTCTTAAATGTATATATTATATATCACCTTAACCATCATGCATTACATCACTGTTTTTCCACAAAAGTAGCCCGCCAAGCAAGCCGGCATCTCCAGCCACAAAGAACAACGCTCGGAATGCGTCTGTACAGCTGCCTAGAGCTCCACCAACGGATGCTGGTAAGGATCGAGAGAGAAACAAGGATGGAGCTAATTTGTACACGTATGATGTTAATACTGATGATGATGATAGCACCCATTCAGTTTGGGTCGATCAACCAAGGCACGGATCTTCCTGCCCAGTCCGCCTCTCCAAACAAGAACGGCAGCGACGTTGCTCCTGTTCTAAAGTCATCCGAGGTCACATTCGGCAGCCTGCCTGCCACAGACGCATCCTCCGTAAGTAGAAGACCATGATGTCATTTCTTTCCTTTTTGTTTTCCTTCCTTTTCTATATTTGGAGGTGCTTTGCTTTGGTGGGTCGAAGAGGAGGGGAGAAAGAGAGAAGAAGAACGTTGTGAGCACGGCATTGAAACTATCATTATCGTTATAATGGTTTTTCTATATACCCTCGTCCCCTCCCTCCTCCTTTTTTATTCTTCCCTCTCTCTCGTTTTTCTCTTGTGTGTGTGTGTGTGTCTCCCTTTGCCCTTGTGTTAGACACACGTTTGGCAGGGTCAGCCGCACATCCGGATACAAGGGACTCAACAGCAGCAGCAGCAGCAGCAGCAGCAGCGTACTTGTTGTTCTCCCGAGATACCCAGAACCATGTCTGCACCACCTACTCTGCCATACAATCATGCTGACAAGACCCACCCTAAACTTTTCACGCAACCTTTTGCACCACAGGGCACCACTCCATCCAATCAACAAAACTCATCACAGCATCATCAGCATTCACAGCATCATCAGCAGCAACGAAGAGATTCCACACACTCCAATCATTCTGAACAAGGCTCACCTGCTACCACCCCAGCACATTATAACAACAACAACAACAACAGTAATAGCAACAACCAACGACACTATCGCCAGCATTACAACAAGCATCAGGGCATGCCTCATTCGCCAAACATGCAGACCGCTCAACCCTATGTGCCCCATCATCATCAAAAGAAGCCCATCTCGCCTCACATGCAATCGGCTCCTTCTCCCTCTGGCGTTGCGGGTCAGAACATGCCAATGCCTCATGCTTGGGGAAGTCCTGGTCCTGTCCATCATCAAGCAGCACCCCATCACCAAGGTGCTCCCCATCATCAAGGTGGCCCTTATGTAAGTTTCAAATTTTCAATTTAGTTGATATATACAAAAGAAAAACAAACAAACAGAACTCACAACTGTTTTACCTACCATTCAAACCTTTTTCCCTCCTCTCTCTCTCTCTTTACTTTTTTTTTTCTAAAACAAAAAAGTTTGTACCTCAGAACTTTGAAGGACAACGTCATTTCTATCAAGCCTACCCTGGTATGGGCTTTGTAGGTGGACAAGGTGGTGCTAACAATGGTCCCCCCTCGCAATCTTCATTCGTTCAACCTGTACGTAACAGCAAGGCCATTCGTATCATCAATCCCGAGACCATGGCCGAAGTGAAAGCAGAGGCCGTTGCTTCGTCGAGCTCTTCGACTGCCAATAGCAGCAAGGATTCGTCGTCGTTGACTACTGCCACTACTACTACTACTACCACTACCACCACTGCTGCCAAACCCAGTGTTTCTTCGGAGGAACGGACTACTGCTACTACTGCTACAAAGAAGGAAGATGCTGCTTTGAAATCGTCACCCTCGTCTGGTGCTGGTGCTGGTGCTGCAGCCTCCACGAGCCCATCGCCGCCAAGTAAGGCTATTCCTATTGTTGATCCTGCCATCAAGGACCGTGAAGCACGTGAAAAGCGCGAACGCGAAGAAGCTGCTCAAAAGGCCAAGGAGGAGGCTGAACAGAAGGCCAAGGAAGAAGCTGAACGTAAAGCGCGCGAAGAAAAGGAGCGTGTTGAAGCCGAGCAAAAGGCCAAGGAAGAGGCTGAACAGAAGGCCAAGGAAGAAGCTGAGCGTAAGGAACGTGAGGAAAAGGAACGCGCTGAAGCTGAACAAAAGGCCAAGGTAGAGGCTGAACAGAAGGCCAAGGAGGAAGCCGAGCGCAAGGAACGCGAAGAAAAGGAGCGTGTTGAAGCCGAACAGCAAAAGGCCAAGGAAGAATCTGAGCGTAAGGCCAAGGAAGAACAAGAGGCTGCTGATGCTGCTGAAAAGCAAAAGAAGGCTGCCGCTGATGAAGCTGCAGAAAGCAAGCGAAAGGAAGAGGAGGAAGCTGAAAAGAAAAAGGCCGATACACCCAGTCGTCTTGACATGGCTTCTCTTTCCAAGTCCGCATCACCTGCAAGTGCCACTCCTGGCCGTACACCAAAGACACCGTCCGGTCCTATGCGTACGATCCAAGACCCAAGCACGGTCCAATACCCGCCCACGGTCAAGGCACCCTATGGCAGCAAGGATTCCCAGAGTGGCAAGATCACGTACGAGCCCGACTTTTTGTTACAGTTCGCTCCGTTGTGTCTCGAGACTTCAGAAGATCTGTCCCAGTTCCAAAACATGGGCGATGACCAGAACGACCGTGGCCCACGATCTGGTGGTGGCATGTCGCGTCGTCAGACCTCTGAACGAGGCCGTGGCGGTCCTCGCACACCTTCCTCTCCCATGGATATGGGCATGTTCCGCCATGGATCAAGAGACGGCCGCATGGAAATGGGCAAGTTTGCCGGTGGACGTCCCCTTTCCCATCGCGCTGGCAGCGGTAGCCATGCCTTGCCACCTGCTGGTGGTGCTGGTGGTCCTGGCTCACCGGGTGGTATGCAGCGTGAAGGCTCACACGGAGGTCGTAGCCGTAGCGGTCGTGGCGGTAAAGGACGTCACGGTGGTAAACAAAACCAAGGCGAGGACAGACCAGAAAAGCAACAGCAAGGTGCTCCCACCATCCCGCCCGAACAAGTTGTTCCTCTGGAAAAGAGCGAGAACCGTTGGGTCCCTCTTGCCCTGCGCAAACAACGTGAGGCAGCCGCTGCTGCCGCTGCCGGAGCTGCTGGCGGTGACAGTGACGTGATGTCCGACGAAGTCATTATCCGCAAGGTCAAGTCCTTGTTGAACAAGTTGACGTTGGAGAAGTTCGACTCGATTGCAGGCCAAATCTGGGAGTATGCCAAACAGTCCGAAAAGGAAGATGACGGCCGTGCATTGAAGGTTGTGATTCAACTTACCTTTGACAAGGCTTGTGACGAACCGCCATTTGCTGTCATGTGGGCCCAGCTGTGCCGTAAAATGTATGACTCGATTACGGACGATATCAAGGATGTCGGTGTCAAGGACAAGGAGGGCAACACTGTCGCGGGTGTCAACTTGCTTCGTAAATACCTTTTGAACCGCTGCCAGCACGATTTCGAACGTGGTTGGAAGATGCAGATTCCCGATGTCGAGTCGATCAGTCCGGATATGTTGACCGACGAGTATTACGCTGCCGTCAAGGCCAAGCGTCAAGGTCTTGGTTTGGTTGTCTTTATCGGTGAACTGTTCAAGCGCCAGATGTTGACCGACCGTATCATGCTTCAGTGCCTGACGCGTCTCTGTGACAACCCCAAGGAGGTCGGTGACGAGGAGACTGAGACCATGGTCAAGCTTGTCTCTACCATCGGCAAGGTCTTGGACACAAGCAACCGCAGAAACAAGGAATGGATGGATGTCTACTTTGAGCGTATTCGAGATATGCTCGAGAGTCCCAACCTGAGCTCGCGTGTCAAGTTTATGATTATGGTTTGTACCCCCCTTCTTTGTTTTCTTGTTGTAGTGATATTATTATTAACCTCCAAGCATTAGGATCTGTTTGACTTGCGAAAGAACAAGTGGGTCGGCCGCCGTGCCAACCAGCCCGCTCCTACCACGATCGCCCAAGTCCACGAACAGGCACAAAAGGCCAAGAACGAAGAAAAAGAAGCCATGAAGCGCACGACAAGCTCGCGTGGCAGCTTACCGCACCCCATGGCACGAGCAGGCTCCCACCGTGGTGCAGGCTCGCGCGACTTGCAGCGAGAAGGTTCGAGTGGCGGCGGCAACAATAGTGCAGCGAACACCACTGTGGATGGCTGGAGCACCGTTGGATCAGGCAGCCCTGGCGGCTCTACCAAGAGCAGCCGAGTGAACGAGCTGGCCAACTTTGGAAAGACGGATCGCAGCAAGACCCGGAGTAACGTGCTAGGTCCTTCCAACAGTCCGTTTGCCAGTCTGCATCGTGCAAACAACAAGTCGGGAGGCGAGCAAAAGTCTAGCCCCAGTGAAAGTCGGTCTAGTTCCGCCAATATGTTCAGGTAAATTTTCTTTCTACCTCTTAAGCAAATGTGTGTGTGTGTGTGTCTTTTGCTGTTGTTGTACTAAATATCCATGTGAATTAATATAGTGCCCTGGGAGGTGAAGGTGGAGACGATGGTCATAACGACAGTCACCATGACGATCAAAAGGAGAGTCACCAGGAAGGTCACCAAGAAGGCACCGAACAAGCAGCAGCTACCACTACTACTGGTACTGGTAGCTCTACCCCTGCAACCACCACCGCTACTACTACTACTACTACTACTACTACTACTACTTCCGACGGCAACAACGATAGCACTGCTCCACAAGAAGAGTAGAATTCATTCCCGCCCGCCCCCACACACACTCACACACAACCCTCTCCGACCCGTTTTGTAATCTCTTACATTTGCACTTGCTTTTTTTTTTGTAAACAAGAGAATAAGAAAAGCCTTTGTTATACACACCTACACAATCACACACTATATACATCACACACTCTCTCTCTCCTCAATCTATATACGCTTCTTTAACAAAGTATTGCCGCACACACACACATACACACTCTTTCTTTCTTTCTTTTTCCCCAAAAACTAAAAATTTTTTCTTCCATTCTCTGTCCCTCTAATATCAATTGTAGAAAGTCTATATTCTTGTCAAATCACAACTCACTCTCACACACACACACACACATAAAAAATGCTGTGCAACACCAGAAACATAGAAATATAATATTTGTATACTTGTACACAATTTGGTCGTGGTGGTAATTTATACAGGGACTGCTTACAAACGACAGTTACATAAGAGTCCTAGCGTGCTTCTATGATACATCTAAGCTCGAGGTAGAAAAAAAAGAAGATGAGTCTCCGAATTATAATAATCTGGGTGCTGCGTTGTGTACAACCATGGGCTGTGGGTGAAACAAAGGGTGGTACCTGTTTTTTTGCGCGCTGCCCTTATTTCTCCTTTCCCCCCCCCCTTTGTAATTTATATCCTTTTACCGCCACCTCCCAACTCGCTTAACCCTTCCCCACCCCCAAACCTAACTTTCTTGCTCTTTCTTTCCTTCACGTTCAATGACGGAAATCATCAAAGACGGCTATCTTTCCGTCAAGGAAGAAGGTCTACGTGCGTGGATTTGGTCAAAACGATTTTGTGTGTTGCGCGATCAGGCATTGACTTTTCATCGAAACGAGGTAAAAAACAATCTCATCATCATCATCATTATCTGCAACTTACCTTTTCTTCTTTTATTGAACATTGAATACATGTATATCTATTTAGCAATCAGGACAATGTGTAGCACTCATCTTTTTAAAAGAAATCACATCTGTAACACGTACAGATCTAAAGCCTTATTGTATTGAGATTGCCACAAAGGACAAGACATATTATGTGGCGTGCAAAAGTGACGACGAGCTATACTCTTGGATGGATGAGATCTATAATGTAAAGCTTGCAATTTAAAAAGATATTTCTTTTTGTAATAATAGACTAACATGGAAATTGGTGTTTGTAGAGATCACCCTTGGGCGCTTCAGGTCCAACTAATTTTGTGCACGAAGTCCATGTTGGTTTTGATCCCATTTCTGGTGCTTTTACAGTAAGTCTGACAGAGGGTTTTTGATGTTTGTAGTACTGAATTTTATTTTTTCAAACACGCACGTTTTTTTTTTATATTTATTTTCAGGGTTTACCAGATCAGTGGACACAGCTCTTGAAAGGATCTGCCATTACTGCAGAAGATGCAGCTAAAAATCCTCAAGCAGTTTTGGATGTTCTTGAATTCTATACTGAACAAACAAAACGGGATCAGGAGGACGACGATTATGGTATGGATCATCAACAACAACAACAACAACGATCCAGTGGTGAACGTTGGGCTGCCATGATGCACGAAAGTAAAAAATCCGCTGCTGCTCCTTTGCCTACTCCGCATCGCCCTGCTCCTCCAAGACCTGCACCTCCACCACCCGTCAGTCCTGCCACAAGACGTCCACAACCGCCAGATATTTCGGACTTGTCCATCGGTAGCAGTGCTGGTGGTCCTGGTAGTGCGGGTGGTCCAAAATCACCCATTTCTCCTAGTTCACGTTCTCCTGGCGTAAGTGTATGATTTTTTTTAACACGTGTTCTGAGAGGGGGGTTTCTTTCTAAATTTTAAAAGACGTTTGCCATCACCAAAAACAATTGTAGGGTTATCGAAACCATCGTGATCCACCTTCTTTACCCAAGTCATCCTCATCCAGTAAACCCTCTTATCCTCGTCCCGAGCCTAGTAAATCATACGGCACATCGCATCACCATTACCATCACCATCACCAACAGCAACAGCAACAACATTCTTCATCGTCTCAACGCACACCCGTACGTACTAGCAGCGCTACCACGTATGATGATTCGAGAATGATGTATGAGCGCGAAAAGGAACGCATGATGCGTGAGCGCGAACGTGAACGTGAACGCGAACGAGAATTACGTGCGCGGGAACGTGAAAAGCAAATGATGCGCGAGCGTGAGAAAGAAAAGGAACGCGAACGTATGCAACGTGAACGTGAAAAGGCAGCAGCGCAAGTGTCGACACCGGCGCCAAAGAAAAAGGTCGAACAGCGTATCAGCACAATGACAGAAGCACAAATCATGGAGAAATTACGTATGTGGTTGTCTCCCCCACCACCCCTTTTTACTTTTTTGAGAGGGAAAATGGAGGGGAATACGGGTTTGTTTTTTATTTGTTTGCTAACAACAACGGGGGGGGGCTTTTGTTTTGTTTTTTGACAGGCTCGGTTGTCACGCGGGGTGATCCGAATGACATGTACAAACGTATTAAGCGTGTTGGTCAGGGGTAAGAGTTTCTATATATACCTTGGAATCTCCAAAGAGGAGAAGCTAATGCAAAAAAAAAAAAAATCATCATCTGCTCTCCAACCCCCGTCCCCCGGTTTTTTTTTTTTTAGTGCATCGGGATCGGTTTATGTAGCTGCATCACTTGCCACGAATCAAAAAGTTGCTATTAAACAGATGGATTTGGCGCATCAGCCTCGCAAGGAATTGATTGTGAATGAAATCCTGGTCATGAAGGAATCGCATCATCGCAACATTGTCAACTTTTTGGACTCTTTTCTTGTCAAGAATATGGAGTTGTGGGTAGTGATGGAATACATGGAAGGAGGTGCATTGACCGATGTCATTGATCACAACACCATGACTGAGCAACAAATTGCTACTGTTTGTCTCGAGGTATTTTTCGTCGTCGTCATGCTTTTGGGGGGGGGGTGTGTCGTGTTGCTATAGTTACGAACTACATTTATATATTTTTCTGTTGCCATGGCTTTTACATTGTTGCCTAGTGTAACATCACCCAGTTGTGTTGCTATGGAGGGGTGGGGGGTGCCTTGTAGTTGTATCCACACACACACACTAACTCGACTTTTTTTTTTAAAAGACAACTGCCGGCCTCCATCATTTGCATTCTCGCAACATCATCCACCGTGATATCAAATCCGACAATATCTTGTTAAACGCCCTAGGACACGTCAAGATCAGTGACTTTGGATTTTGCGCCAAACTGACGGATCAAAAGACCAAACGAGCGACGATGGTTGGCACACCGTATTGGATGGCACCCGAGGTGGTGAAACAAAAGGAGTATGGTGAAAAGGTTGACATTTGGTCATTGGGTATCATGGCCATTGAAATGATTGAAAACGAACCACCGTATCTGGACGAAGAGCCACTCAAGGCGTTGTATTTGATTGCCACCAATGGCACACCCACACTCAAGGCACCCGAGAAATTGTCGCGCGAACTGAAAGGGTTTTTGGCAGTGTGTCTTTGTGTGGATGTTCGTTCGCGTGCTACCGCGGGTGAGCTTTTGGACCATGAATTCTTAAACAAGGCCGGCCCTTTGGAAATCTTGGCTCCTTTGCTCAAATTCAAATCTAAAAGCCACTAAAGAAAAAGAGGGAACTTTTTACTCTCGTTATTATCGTTTTGTCCCCATCCTTCACCCTCTCTCACCCGCCCCCATCCCCCCTTTTTTTTCCCTTTCCAGAAAAAACCCGCGTTTTAGTTTTTTTTAAGAAATCCTATATTTCTTTTTTTGTATAATTATCATCTTTGAATGGTGAAATCTCTCTCTCTCTCTAGTCAGAAAATGGAGGACATATAAAGAAAAGAAAATTCGCGTACTTTTTTGTTGAAAATCCCCTTCCAGAAACCCACACATACACACACACACACATACTTTTTCTTTATACATACAGTTTCTTTCTCAACAAGTTTGTTTATCTATACAGTATAATATATATTTCTTCTTTTACTATACTACCGCACGCATATACTGTTGTTTGTTTTCCTTGCTGTCGGCTAAACGCCCAAAATGCCATGTTGCAGCAACGGGCAATATGTATCAAGCTAACGCGTGTTGCATAAGAAAGAAATCCCTGTTTTTTTTCATTCATTCATTCATTCATTCCGCGGGGGGGATGGGGGTGCTGATAGGGTCCATCGACAACTATGACTTGCTAACAACGCGTCAGTCTGTAGTAATCATAGTCTGCCCTCAAGCGTTACTTTATGCTTTGTGCGTTGATCGGTTCATCCTCTCGTACATATACATGAGTATCCACTCCCATTGCTCCATATAGTAAAGACAGACTGACACTGTCTTCCCCCTCCCCTCCCTCCCCCCCTTGCTTCGGCAAAAACACTACATGAATCTGTCAGCCTCATTTTTCTTCTTCTTCTTCTTCTTCTACATTACCAAAATCTTTTCTTCTTCCCTTCCTTCTCTCTCTCTCTCTCTCTCTTACATCGTTTTCTCGTATATCCAAATTTCCACCCTTTTTACGTTTCTTTATCTCCTGTTTCTGGGCTATTATTTAGCCTTGTACTCTTTACCCCTCCGATATTCCCGTGTACTTGTAATTTAATATGCCTGGTATGTAGCCCATGCAATAGCGTCAATCCATAGGGAGCAAAGACATGGGACTCATCATTGTTTGTTGTCGCCGGATATATAGGTGTCATGGACATCCAACATTTGTTATGCCACAGTGAAGAACATGAAAACTCACCGTTTCTTCCTCCTACCACACTCTATTCCGAACAACACCAGCAACGACCTACCACCAGTACTACTGTTCTTGCCGTTCTTCCGCCGCAGACAAGTTGTAGCAGTGAAAGCTTTCTATTAGCGCGACAACGGACAGCACACAACAACCACCCTTATCCATTTATACAACAAAATCAAGTAACAAGAAGACGACGGCGCGCAGCTAGCGAGACAACAGCAGCAGGGTCTAGTCATCATCACAATAGCCCAACCACAGCAGCAACGACGGGGTTGGTTCAGACACGCACCCCATGGACACCTTTCGAAGACGTCTTGCTACAACGCGGGTATAAAGAAGGACTGTCTTGGGCCATGATCTCGTCCACCTATCTTCCTCATCGCTCACGAGGTTGTTGCTGGGGTCGTTACAAAACTTTGCAAAGTAAACTGCAGCGTCAGCAGCAGCAGCAGCAGCAGCAGACGCCGGCGCAGATGCATGGGCAAAAAAAGAACCGACCACAACAACAACAACAGCCTTATGTCCACTAATGCGCGCAACAGTAGCAGCGGCAGCATACATGTTACAGCAAAGCAGCATACATCCGAAAAAAAAACTATACACTCCCCCCCCCTTTTTCTTTCTGCAGTTTCCCCCCCACCCCATATTGTCATTATGACCAACCCAACCCCCATCCCGATGTTTTTTTTTACCATTTCTTGATATTTTACCCTTTTATGGATATTCCTGCACCACCCCCCTTTTATGCATAACAACTCATATATATATATAAAACACACATGTCCCCCCTAACACCCTTCAAAGAACACAGCATAAGCGTTCCGCTCCTTTCCACAAGGCAATTCAGCTTTTCCAGGATTTTGTTTCTATTTTTATATGTCTTTCCCAGTTTTTCTCTCTCTCTCTCTCTCTCTCTCTCTCTCTCTCTCTTTCTTCTTTAAAGTCTTTTTCTTATTAAAACAGTTCAACAAGTTCTGCTATGGCCACAAGCACATTATTCCTGTCCTATATGTACATGACTTATATACATTTGCAAAAGTGCGTGTGAGTGATATGCAGGTATCTCTGCATGTGATAAGGCTGTTTTTGGTACGTAGGATGGTAGTGTGGCTTATCAAGAGAAGGCTGAGGCGAGACTAGTATAGCAGGTATCTCGGTGTTATCGCAAAACGTAGCGTATATACCCTATCCGTGTGCGGTGTTAATTGTCAAGAGAGAACATACCCAAGAATGGCATATCGTTTGTGGCTTTCCTTTTGGTGCGCCAGCAATCCGAGATCTTGTAATAGGTGTCACCAAGTAATCCCATTTCGGAAAACGCGAGATAAGGACCAAGATAAACCCGTATCACTCTTGACTACTACTACTACAGCTTATTATTGTTATTATTGACTACCACTGTTTTGTTTGTTTGATACAGGTGATACGCTTCATATGATGCAGCGTTGTGTGTAAATGACACCATCATCAACCGTTTGCGCTCTGAGAACCATGTTGACTGCTTTATTCAGCCTTTTAGTAATACATACAAAGAAAATGATAAGAGTGCGCGGGAGTCTATATAGATTGTTGCCGAGCGAGAGATAAAACTTTGGAAAGAAAAGAAAGGGTGGAAGACAAGATCTGCCCCGATTTTGGGTTCTCTCATGAGGACAGATGCCTTACAACACACAGTCTAATTGTTCCGGTACACATTACCGCCTTTTTGGATCCAAAGATAAAAAAACCCCCCCTTCCATCAACCAAATATATAAACTGCCTGCATGTTTCGTATGACACACCTGTGCGCCTTTTGCTCTTTTACTTAATAGATAACATCTTTTCCTTGCGACACACACACACACACACACACGACAGAAGCAACAGCTTTATGGACAACATCAATACCAACCCGCCATTGCCATTGCCACCACCATCGTCAAACGATCCTACTGCAAAGAAAATCGATGCTGAAGACATAATGGACATCCAGGCCGAACGTACCCAGGACACCATGTACCCGCCTATGCCGCGTATTTCGCTGCGGCATGCTATCAAGCACAAGTTCACCACCAAGGAAGGCTGGTTCGGCAACTATGATTATCGTGCCTTGTGGTAAAATACTTGTTTGTGACAATAAAACTCGTAACTGTTTTTTTTTTTTTTGATAACCCAAGATAATATTTTCTCTTTAAGTGTTCCACATATCCCATTTCTCAAGAAAAAGATGAACACGTCGCGATTCTATGGTCCGAATGAAAATCTGCCAGTTGTATTGGCTTTTGTGATGGGCATACAGCGTAAGTGATGGTGGATCATCTCACAGTTGACTTGTGTACACAGACACACAGAGGAATAACAACCAAACCATTAGATTTCTTGGCCGTTATCGGTGGTGTCATTGCTCCTACAATGATCATTTCTGGTGCTGGTAGCTCCACGTTGAATCTTCCCCAAGATTTGCGTCAATACATGATTTCGGCTTCTTTTATTGTAAGTTTTTACATATGCTAACTCTACTTGCTTGTGTTACAGTCAACAAGGTCTTTGTTAACAATACACACGGTCAAATTGGGTACCCTTTATAGGTGTGTGGTGTCAACAGTATTATTCAGATTATTCGGTTCAAGATCTACAAAACACGTTACTATATCGGATGTGGGTATGCATTCTGGAGAAAAAAGAGGAGTAAAAGTGTAGCACTTGTTAATCCATATTATTTTCTTTTGCAGGATTTTGGGTATTACAGGTGTAGCATTTGCCAACCTTCCTGCAGCCGAGGCGTTGATATCGAGCATGTACTCAAGTAAATGACGAACCTCTAGTTCTAGGAGCAGAAGGAGGGGGAGAAAGAGCCTAAACAGTAGTTTGTGTGTGTGTTTTTGTTTTCTTATAAAGATGGAATGTGTCCGACTGAGACTTTGCCCGACGGAACGATCAACTACTTGCCATGTCCTGATGCATTTGGCGCTATTCTTGGTACACAGGTAACTAAAGAAAGGCGATTGTTGTTGCTTGTCGTGTGCTCGGGAGAAAGAAGAATGGATGGGCACACTGCAAAACCACAACAACATCCTATGTTACAGCAGCAGTGCCTTTCTTTCAAGTGAAGCTACTAAAACACACATGGATGTGATAGATGGTCTGTGGTGTGGTTGGCGTCCTTTTCAGCTTCTTACCACCCCGTGTTATCCGCAAAATGTTCCCCAAAATCGTCACAGGCACAGTCCTCTTCACCATTGGTGTTTCGTTGATCTACTCGGGAATGAAGAACTGGGCAGGTGGCTCGGGCCCTTGCATGAATCGTCCCGAAAGTGGAGACTTTGCCTTGTGTCCTACGATCCACGCTCCCAATCCTCAGATCTGGGGCGGTGCTGTAAGTAGAAAAAGTTATGGCTTACACAAAACAACATCCATTGAGAATACGTGATTTGTGTTGTTTCTTCTAGGTGAACTTTGGTCTCGGAGCTTCAGTGTTCTTTACCATCATTTTGGTTGAGCTATTTGGCTCTGTCTTTATGCGTAATATCGGTGTGGCCATCGGTTTATTGGTTGGCTGCATCATTGCTGCAGGAATCGGTGAGTTTCTGGCTCTATTTATATATACACAAGATCCTATTTTTAAACATCATGTACAGGCATGTTTGACGGTTCTAGCATTGCAGCTGCACCTGCTGGCACCTTTTTGTGGGTCAGGACATTCAATATTTCAGTCTATGGTCCAGGTAATCTTTAACTGCTCCAGAACGCCGTTATTACCTAATGACAAAATAGCACTCATTATTATCATTTTTGTTGGTTGTAAAGGCATCTTACCGTTTCTTTTCACTCAGTTGGATATGATTATTGTAAGCTTATTACCATGTTCGACTTCACTACTTTTTTCGGGATGATATATATTGATGATATTGAATGTAATATATAGGAAACCCTTGGTGACTTGACAGCCGCTAGCGATGTCTCGGGACTCCCTATAGAAGGCAAAGAATTTGAAGAGCGCTGTCAAGGTGCTCTGTTGGCAGATGGTCTAGGCAGTATCTTTAGTGCCTTGGCCACAAGCATGGGCGTTGTCATGTTTACTCAAAACAATGGCATCATTGCTGTAAGTTTTGTACTTTGTATTACCTCCGCCAATCATTATTAACCCTAAAACCTAACTTTGTCTTTTCTTCTAAAGGTAACTCGATGTGCAAGTCGTATAGCAGGTCTAGTATGTGCTGCTTTTCTGATCATTTTCGGTATCTTTGGCAAGGTAAGAATTTGTTTATCGTTGTAACCATTCATCATCGTCATCAGAGCCATTGTTGTGGATTTAACTAAAAAAAGAAAACAGATTTCTGCAGCGTTCTTGGCAATCCCTGCACCATTGATTGGGGGCATGACAGTATTTTTGTTTGCCTCTGTGGCTGCTTCGGGTATTCGTATATTATCTTATCTCGAATGGACACGTCGTGATCGTGTCATTGTTGCTGCTTCTCTTGCTCTTGCTTTAGGTAAAAAAAGAAGAAAACCTGTTTTGGTATTATCATTTTTTTTTCCACTGGTGGAAACTGATTGGCTGTCTGTAAATAGGTGTGGCCCTTGTTCCTAGCTGGTTTTCGAACGTTTTACCTCGCGCAAGTGACGATAATCCCGGTCTTCAAGGCCTTTATGACACCGTCAATGCCATTGTCAGCACCAGTTATATCTTGGCAGGATTGATGTCGGTTATTCTGAACTTGATCCTACCTTATGAGCAGGGTGAAGGAGAACAAGGCAAGACGTTGGTCATGACCGGCGAGAAGCGATCCTCGCTGCCCGTAGCTGAACGTGTCACCTCAACTCATGGTGATGAAAAGCGATCCATTTAATGCACCGCCCCATGTGTTCACAAAACACTACTTCTTTCTTTTATTACGATAGCGCTTGGTTATACTTACCTTTGTCCAGCTATATACAATTGTGAAATTTCCTTTCCTTTTTTTTTGTCGCAGTTGCAGCAACTCTGCGTTAACAAATCCTGTACATATTACTTTTCTTGAGTGAGATCATATCCCACTGTATATATATATATATATATATGTAATAAAATTGACGTGTTCTTCAATAGCAAGAGCGCAGTGAATACATCGCCGTAAATATGTCAGCATACCACGTATAAATTTAACCTTCATTTTAGAAAAAAAAAAGATCGAATGCATCAACTGTGTATAAGAAATGCTTCAACGACATATATGAAAGAGGCGGTATATAGAAGTGGAACTAGGGTGTGTAACGATAATTTGATAGATCATATCCTTCCAATCTTTTTGACAGTGCCGCTAAACAAAAGTTACTTTGGCGCCCGTAGTAGCTAAGAGAAATTACTATCAATAATTGACTTTCAGCTTACTGAAGGAAAAGCTCTATTCAATCTGTTGCCAAGTCGTCGCCCTGGCAACTTTATCTGGCCTGTCGCGCTCCTGGTATAAAATTAGTCTCTATAACGTCCTCCGCGTAGCAACCAAAAAAAAGACAGCGGGAACAATTACTGCCGAATTGGAAAAATTGTAGATGCCGATTGGGTGACAGGGCAATACGTCACAAATTTTTTTGGCTGTCTCGCTGGAAAAAAGAGCAGGGTTTTGAAAAAATTGTGAGGGGTAGGCCCGCAAAAAAAAAGCCCTCTCAGTTTCTATACTCTCCTCTCTCTATCCCACCACAACCCGTCCCAAATGGCCTCCCGATTCACTCGCTTGACGACTGCTGCCCCCAAGGTACGCCAAAAATAAAAACCCTTAATTCCAATCTTTGCGAAATAACGCATACACAAAAACGTTTTCACGAAAACAAAGCAAAAGGGAAGGAATGTTGTACATTGACCGCCCACCGTTATTTATTTTGAAATTTAGTTGGCCCGTGGCTACGCTGCCGCTGCTTCCCCCAAGGTAAAAGATTTCTGCAACCCATCTTTTGTTTTCAAAAATGTCAAAAAGAGAACGAAAAAAAAAACTCGAATGTACACTCTATGGGACGCAAGAAAATTGACTTTTGTTGCTGTTGTTTTTTTTTCCTAATTATTGAAAGGCACCCGTTACCTTGTACGGTCTTGATGGTCGTTACGCTACTGCCTTGTACACCGCTGCAGCTCGCCAGAACGCGCTCGATGCCGTTGAGCGTGATTTGACCCAGCTCTCGACCTCCATCAGCAAGGACAAGGCTGTCCAGGCTTTCTTGGAGAACCCCACTGTCACCCGTCAGGCCAAGGCTGAGGGTATCTCTGCTTTGTTGAGCAAGGCTGGCAAGGTCAACCCCTTGACCAAGAACTTGTTCGAAGCCTTGAACGAAAACAGCCGCTTGGACCAGACCGTCAAGGTTTTGTCTGCCTACGCTGAATTGATGAGCGCTCACCGCAACGAATTGCCTTTGGTCATCACCTCTGCCAAGGTATAATATTGGATGCTTTTTTCTTGGTCAGGAAGAGAGCAATAGGAACAGGGAGAGAGAGAGAGAGAGGGCAAGAAAGGATGGATGTCTCTTATTGCATCGAGAGAAAACGAACAAGGCTGTACCTAACAAGGGAAAGGGAGAGAGCTGGATACTAATATCAAGTGTCGGTCTCTAGGAACTCGACAAGTCCGTCTTGAACAAGATCTCTGACTCTTTGCAGAAGAGCAAGCTTGCTGAGGGCAAGAAGTTGTTGGTCTCCAACAAGGTCAAGACCGATATCCTCGGTGGTATCCTCGTCGAGATTGGCGACAAGAGCATTGACTTGACTGTCTCTTCCAAGATTGCCAAGTTGAACAAGCTTGTCACTGGTAAATATCCTATCTCTGTGTTAAAAACGACATGTTTCTTTTCTTGATGGCTGACCTTCTTTCTTTTTTCCATGATAGATGCCGTTTAAAAAAAACAAATACATATATAGTATATTCTCCCAATGTTTTATTATATAAAAAGCAAAAGTCCTTTTGCAAAAAAAAAAAAAAGACAATATATAAAAAGCTCTTATTTTGTTTGTATAAAGTTATATAAAGAATTGTTTTCCCGTGAAACTAGGAGCAGTGGTAATGTCTCTCTCGTCGATCGATCGTCGTTTCTAACGATTTGTGCACAGTGTCATAGCTGCTGATGGCGGTGCTAATTTCTCATATAAAGGGACTAATAAAAAAACAGTCTTTTTTTAACTCTGGCTTTTTGATCATCATATAATTAAAACAGTTTATCTCTCCTATATATACATACATATATACCAACTCACCGCAGGAAAGAACACTGTACAGTAGTAGTTCATGGAGTTTTCTTCGTCTGCATCGGCTGGTCCGAATGCTGCTCCAGTAGTCGTCACTCCAGCTGGCAGTACCAATGACCGTGTAGACACTAGTAGCGAATATTTTGTCGCCGCACCACCACCTCTTCATCAGCGAAAAACCGAATATCCCGTCGCGCTACCCATGCGAACAGACACTACTACCAACACCACCCATACCATCCCAATGCCGAACAACAACAGCAGCAGCAACAGTCATAATAGTGCTATTCTTCTCGAGCTTAGTGTCCAATACGATCATCCGACCATCCCCAGAGATTCGAGTGCAACTAGTGCTGCCACAACCAGCAATACACATGGCGGGAATGCCGCGAAACAGCATGGTCTTTGCACCATCTGCCGTCCAGTCAATACAATACCGGTTTCAGTGAGCGGTGAAAATAGCGGTGCCGACACTAAGCTGATATTCTACCGACCGCAAATGGCGCTTCACAAAGTATTGCAACAAGGCACAGCTGCAGAAGCAGCAGCAGCAGCAGCAATCGACCCTGCAAATACCACACAAGAGAGTAACCAACAACCATCCCATAAAAAGGACTCAGCCACGACGGCACCAGCAGCAGCAGCAGCAGCAGCACTAACCAGCGATAATAACATCAATCACAGCGACCACACAACACGCGTAACAGTGCCGAGCCATTTTTTACCGTATGTAACACTGTACGGACCACAAAAGCAAGCATTATGGTCTTTAACAAGCAAAGATTGGCACACGATGGACTTTAGCTCACCCCAGCTCGACCACGTCATAACGCTGACCACATCAACGTCTCTGTTTACGTTTATGTGGCTAAATCGCAAGACATACCAATGGCGACTCCTTCCCGCAACGTCACAACGCAAGAATCAGCAACAGTATCATCCTTACGACTTGCGGTGTTACCATGACGACAAGCTGATTGCCGAATTTGTAGACTCTCGGTTTGTGCAATGGACACAAGCAACGGATCAACAGCAGCAGCAGCAGCAGCAGCAGCAGCAATTCAACCCCGCGCATGATATAGTCTTTTCCTCCTTTCTTCTCTTATCCGGCCTACTCATTCATGAACATCTCAGCTCGATCTTGCGGTCTTTGGGCGGTGGACCCGAGGCTGTACAGCTCGTGACGGATCCGACGTTTGCAGCGACGGCCATGATGGACAACAACGATCACCATGACCATTACTATTACGACGACAACGACGTCAATAGTGTGGGCGAAGATTCATTTTATGGCGAACGGGAATATGCCGATCAGGGTCTGGTCGATGGTCAACATGCACCGGCGACGGGCAGTCGGTGGTACACTTCACGTAGCGGATCGCTCGGCAGCGGCGGTGGTGGTGGTGGTGGTGGACACGGTGCAGGATCGGTCAAGAGCATAGAACTGGACCCGGGCTTTTTGCGATGCTTTTGGGGATATGGGTTCTGGTGGACATGGTGTCCCTGTTGTATGCCCGGGGGTTGGTTTGATCGCATGTGGATCAATTGTCGTCTACGTCGAAAAAAGATGATGGCGAATAACACTGCACCCATGTCACGGTCTCGACAGCGTCGCCAAAGAGGTTGGCAGCAGCATCATCATCCAGACCAATACTGATGATATATGTATTTTTATCCTCATCCTCATGCTTCTCCCCCTCCCCACCACCAAAACTCTTTCTTTACATATCCACCCTTTTTCTATCTTACAAGAATGCATATAACGAACCAACACCACCTCTCTACTCTCTTCCCTTTCACTTTGCACGGACTACTTTTCATCATCATCTCCCTTCTTTTGTCCCTCTTCCCTCCCCTATTTTGTTTTCTCTCTGTATATCTTTGCTTGCTTGGGTACATAAATATAAATATACACATATAACTTATATAAATACTTATATATCAACAATCAATCACCTTCCCTTTTTACAAGAAAGCCGCTTTTCTCCAGGAGGGCAAAAACAAAACAAAAAAAGACCCGGTCGTATACGTTCTTGTGGATGTTTTGGAAAGAGAAAACACGAGTGTATCTTTTTTTTAATGCGAAAAAGAAACCACACAAACAACAATTGGCTACATTACAAAAGAAACCAGAGTGCTTAGTGGCGACGCGATTCGGCAATGACACCGGTAAGCTCCTCGATCTTTCTCTTGGCGCGACCGTAGGTTCCAAGCTATATAATAAAAATCAAAATAAACAAAATCGTGAATTAGCCTTCTATATCATTTATGCCGTTCTCGCAAGGATATGGATTTTTTGTTGTCGTTGTAGCAAAAGAAAAAAAAAAGAGGTTTCGATTATTTACTCTTCTCTTGGTGAGCTTCTTAGCACGCTTGTCCTTGGAGTTCTTGATCAATTCCATGACACGACGTTCATAAGGAGCGAAGCCAGCGACTTCACGGACAATGCTGCGGACGAAAGCAGTGCGCTTGCCGAGAGCCTAGAAATGAAGAAGAATATTTAATTTAGCAATGCAATTCGAGAACCTCCACAAAATTTCGAAAATGGTTGGAAATGCTCAAAATAATATATTATATATTCCCGCATCTCGTAATATCCATCCGCACTCCCCCTATTCATTCATCCATCCATCCATCCATTCCGAGTTATATAAGGATTGATACGTACACCCTTCTTTTGCGAGGGCTTCTGGGCGAGCTCGCGACGAGTGGTGATGTGGCCCTTGTTGAGGCCGACGGCAATACCGGACTTCTGTTGAGGTGCCATGGCGATGTTGAAAGAGAAGGATTTCTTCAAGTTGCCCACTTGCTCCTTCGTTTTCACCCGATTTCATTTCCCGATAATTGAGGGCTGATTTTATTGGCCAACAACTTGTTCTTATTATTGCAAAGTAGTAACTGCTTTGCTATTCTGTCTTCTTGTAACCTACGTCAATACCGTGTTATTCCTTTTATTGAGTACCTCCAGCTATATAAAATAGAGTGCTAATGCTACTGCAATTGCTTTAAACTGGGTAGTGCTCGGGTTGTGGATCCTTTTCGTTTTGTTCAAGCAGCAGACAGCAAAGAAAACTGTGGCCTTGATATCTCTTCTCAATAACATTAGCTGTTGCGGCCATAGAGTCATTATCAAAAGTTACTACATTGCGACCGGCTTTCTGCATGAGAAATCATTGTTCTCTCCACTAAAAAATGGGGGTTATTATATAATAATAAATAGTAGTGGGGCTGCTAATTATATGGCAGCATGCAAATGATCAAATGATTTCGTTCCGTTGACAGAAAGTTTCTGCTGTTATTTTTACAGTGGTAATAGATACATATTATGGCTCGTTATCAATATCACAAGTATCCATGGATATGTTTCCCGGTGCCTAATTAACTTATGCAATGAGCGAAAGGGGAAAATCAACGAGGAGACCTGAATGGGGGACGGAGTTTTACAAACGGCGACGATTTGGTCGTGCAATCTTGTTGCAGCCGCTGATACCCCCTCTTTTGAAAATCATCCATCATGGGTACGTGTGCCAAATGTTCATATGCCAATCTATCCATCCATCGCATCAATATCGCAAACGGGACGATCTCCATCCATCCATCCATCCATCATCAACTGAAATAGAGACACCTTTCCATGGAGGAATCGTTGCGAAAAATATATACATATAGAAATATGTGTGATGGAGACGGATAGAATGGCAGGCTATACAATAGTCAATCGAAATCCCGTCACCCAATTGGGAATTTTTATGTTGAATTCTCTTTCTTAATAATTTCCTTTTCCAAATTGTAAAATGTGTAGGTAAGGGACAGCCTAGAGGTTTGAACGCAGCCCGTAAGCTTCGCATTGACCGCCGTGAACAGCGTTGGGCTGATAAGCAGTACAAGAAGCGTGCTCTCGGCACCGCTTTCCGCTCCTCGCCATTCGCTGGTGCTTCGCACGCCAAGGGCATTGTCCTCGAAAAGATGTAAGCCATATTTCTTTGCTTTTCCCCCCCCTCCCGTCACCAAACCGCCGGTCGCAGTGAAAAAAAAAAAGAGGAATCAGCAAAACGTCAACGTTGAAGAAGAAAGAAACGACACAATTTTTTACGATCAACCACAACCCGCTTTTTTCATTTATACACCTACACACACACACAAACACACCCATCGTTATCAGACACTAACCCGGTTTTTTTCCTACTGTGTGATTTGATAATAATGTAGTGGTGTCGAAGCCAAGCAGCCTAACTCTGCCATTCGTAAGTGTGTCCGTGTCCAACTTATCAAGAACGGCAAGAAGGTCACCGCTTTCGTTCCCAACGACGGTTGTTTGAACTATGTCGACGAAAACGACGAAGTCCTCATTGCCGGTTTCGGTCGTAAGGGTCGCGCTATTGGTGATATTCCCGGTGTCCGTTTCAAGGTTGTTAAGGTCGCTGGTGTCTCCTTGCTCGCTTTGTACAAGGAGAAGAAGGAGAAGCCCAGATCGTAAATCTACTTTTTTTCTCTCTCTCTCTCTCATCATATTGCCTTGCCTTCTTATTGTGCAGTAATAAAAAAAGGACGAAAGAGTTATGCTCCTTCTAAAAGAAAAAGAATGTTTGCTGGGACTATTTGTTGGATGGGTGGATATACATATGTCGATATCTGGGAGAGGGATACGTGATGTATACTCTCTAGGGGGGATCTACGTATGTTCTCTGTTCAATGTGTATAAGATGATAGAATTGTTGAGCATGTCATTGCCGTGCAGTCTGTGTGCCAACAATTCTTATGGAACTAGTATCTTTTTTTGCCACTGTATGTCACTAAACATAAAGTAACACAACATGAGTGCGCGTGCCCTCAATATATAATGGCTGCACTTCATATATACGATCGATAAACTTTGCAGATAAAACAGTGCTTGCATGGCAGATACCGTCCCGAAATTACTTACTAGGAGCCGAGAGGAGGGAGGGGGTTAGGCAAATCATTGCCTCTACTGTAACACTGAATTGTGGTAGAAACTCGCTGTTGTAATGGCAATTACAGGCGTAGTATAAGTAACAACAATAACAAGGACTACTGCTACTGACAAAACTTTTGGCGGGTATGTAGCAACCTTAACGCGCCGCAATAGGCCTAAAATGTAAGGGATTGATCGTGTGCAATAGGCATCAAAAGCCTCCCAGAACAATATAACGACTTTGCAGGCACAAAAACAGGAGGTATATAGTCAGCGCCCCCCCCCCACCCCTTTATTTTTACACCTATCAACTTCTCAACCTATGCTATTTTCAAACTTTTAGAGCTAACAAACAAACAAGGATAGCAGGGAGTGCTAGTACCAGTTGTTCTCGCTAACTTTTCAAACATACTATTTTCACACACTATTTGGGAAGCTTACGCTATGAAATTAACGAGGGCCTACTGTATAATGAAAGCGTTCATACCAGGGGTGGATGAGTATAACTGTAAAAGTGGATGCAAGATAGACACAAGCTCGAGGGCTGCGAGCTTAAAGCAAGCTTAATGTTGTTTTGAGCCCTAATTGATACTTGCTTGCGATTTCCCTATTTACGACTTATTATGCTACTTACAAGTCATGTTATACACGCGTTTTTATAGCCTGCATCAACCTCAAAGTTACAACTATATAATAGTTTGCCTTAACAATTCGAATCACAACAAGCTTTGCAAATTTGACGTTCGTTGTATCGTCATGACGAGAGCCCTCCATCCCAGTGGTTCTATGAAAGAAGTTTTCTTGACAGTGTTACATTTGCTAACAATGACAGCATGCTTTGTCACGAAAAACGCGCGCTTGTGAAAAGTAGCTTCAAGTCCAGCAAATGGTCTATATTGGTTAGGGAAACAGAGGATGACTTCCCTTTCATTTGTACCATGTTGGACCGTTCCTCTCATTATCTCATGACAAGCTCGACGGCCTGATTTTCATCCTCTTCAAGATCTTCAATGACGTCTCCAACTCTTTTTTCGTCCTAAGTTGCCGTCGTTGACACCGAGAAGAGCAGATGCGATCATGATGCTGTCTCTGACACAAAGCTTCCGGTCGCGATATTGGATTTAACAGTTCCAAATTGACCGATGTTGCGAACACCATTGTCGTCGCGATTCAACAAGTTGATTTTTGCCACAACTCTATTGAGGATGTGTCGAGAAAAAAACAAGTCCATAACACACCCACATGCATATAACCAATAGGGTATACAAAGGTAAGTTTATTAGGCAAGATCCGTTGTCAACGAGATACAGGGAGAACCAGAGGAAAAGAGAAGCGTGCTTTGATGCAGTGTTCTGCGTAGCAACGATGCTACCAAGAACGGATGCATTCAACGATTTTGTTCTCATTGCCAAAAGCTTATTACTTAATGCTACTCGCTGAACTAAGGGTCGCAGCGACGCATCCCCACAGATATCATAACTACTAGCATTCTTCATAAGCGCAGAAATGACGAAAGCCTTTTATTTTTCTAGAAACGTCCATTGAAACGAGACCTTATAAAAAGACGCGCGACATCCCTATTTTGCGATAACGTCACTACAAAAGAAAAGTACAGATTGATGATGCACTTTGTCGTATCTTGTCCACAGTATGTCGTTGACAGCTATTTTAAAAGCAGTCTGTGCGGCTTTTTATGCATAGAGGGAGCTAGACCTCAAGCGTAATCAGTTCGCGTAAAGTGGTATTGAACTTTACCGCCCACAGCAAGTTTCGTAGAATTAATTTATCTTGGAATGAACTGCAAGGCTTGAAAAAGACTTCAAACGACAAGATTTGAATCTTCCGCGTCGTCAATTGTTTCGACTCAATTCGTGACGAGGTCGCTGAAAATGTCTCGTAAAGAAGCTTTTTGCCGGCAACTTTCGCTGACGCAGCTGATCTTATGCATTTTGGGATCACGCGCAAACTCGATGCGCAGATTGGAACAGCGCCTTTGTACTTCTCGCATAGCTTTTGCCTGCCCAAAAACTCCACGGTGATGATATCGGTGTCTTTGTCGTTCCACACCAGCAAAGGAATGAGTCATGATCATACGCGCCGCTTCTCTTTTTTCGCCATGTCACTTCTTTTCCCTCTTGTATGGCAACGCATCAACCCAAACGACGACCGAAACCTACTACCGCATAGTACGCGGGGATGCCCTTGAGCCAAGTGCTGTCGATTCCGGTTATTCAAATAACACGTGATTCCATATATTCAACTTGCGCACTTACTGATATTCGTGACGATTTTTTTATCTGATATAGGTTCTTTATTCAGTAACATGGTCGTTCTACAGAAAGGTAGAAGCAGTATACATACTTCTCAGGTGCCCCAGAACATGAGCAGCTTTGCGAAAGAGGTGAGGAAAAAGCAGAAAGGCATGATAAGAGACACTGTTTAGATGGAAACTACAGGTATGACTGACTGGCACAAAATCCGTCACACAGGTTTTAAACATACGGCTCCAACGCTCAGATCTTTGCTTCTCGTTCGCACGCCCCCACGTTCATCACTTGAAGAGCTTTCAGTCATGACAACCAGTCCATTACGGTCGCAGGTCATTGCACTCTATAAGCAGGTCAGACAAATCACTCTTTTTTCTTTTTCTTTCTTTTTTTGTGCTCTACACAAATATATTCCGCGTTTCTTTTGGGGAACTCACAGCCAAAGAGAGTAGCTGGCGTACTTGGGTCGAGAATATCCACTGGGCTACGAAAACTTTTTCCGACCTAGACTCAAGTCGGCGTTTCTGAAAAAGCGCGATCTGACGGATGAAGAAGAAATCAAAAAATCGATTGCCTTGGGTGAATATGTCTGCAAAGGTAAAATAGGCGTGTGTTGCTGGCTGTTGGGCAGATGGAAAGAAGAAGATCCAACGATGGACCACGCAGGCTAATTGTGATCATGATCAAATAATCATCACAGAACTAGAAACCTTGTACTACCTCCGTAAATATCGAGCAATGCGTAGACGCTATGTGAAATGAATGAGATGATTTTCCGGGGGGCCATGTGCGAGGCATCCTGAAAAGAAGAAGCCTGTGGTGTGGTCAAATAAACTTGATGTTACACGAGCAATCTCGCCTCTGAAATCAGCCCTGAAAGGTGTGTGTGTGCGTGTGTGTTATAACGAGATTGTGCTGTGCAGATATATTAGAGGCATACCCATTGCAGAGTGCCTCTGTATTTTTTTAACCTTTCTTATTTAGTTTTCTGGGTCACCTTACCCGCCTTTCTTTTTATTCTTGTTACTTTAATAATAATAATAATTACTACTACTACTTCTTTATTTACATGCTACCTAATTCTCGAATCGTCCCGCCACCTTCTTCGCCTGCTGTTCATGGCGGCGATTCCTCAGAACGCCACCATCAATACAACCACAAACAAAGTCAAGACTTGCATAGAAAGCGTTCCCTGTCAGCAGCAGCTCCGCCGTCAGGTTATCACCAGCATAACCACCATTCCTCAACAGACGTGTCATCTTCATCTCCAAAACCACCTTCCAAAAACTTTTTATCTCGTTTTCGCGCGACACCACCACCTCCTCCTCCTATTCCTCAACAGCAACAGCAGCAACACCCAAGACCAACGCACTATGAACACCACCAGTCGTTACCGCAACCGCCACTACCAGCAGCTCAACAACAACAACAGCAGCAACAATATCATAATCGCTCGCCACCAGCTCGATCTTCTGGCTCTTTATCAACGTCAACTTCTTCAACATCTTCCTTACCCAATAACAAATACCAAACGTTTCCACCTCAAATGAACAATAACAATATTAATATCTCGGTGGATCAAAGAGTACGACGCAAACCAGTGGATGAGCCCAGTTTCGCATCCAGGCCACGACATACATCCATGATGGCGAGTATGAATTCACAGCAATACAATCCATTGATGGATGCAGCTACTCCCGAAGATGCTCAACAGAAAAAGGTAAAAATAACATTTTTATTGCGCGCGTGTGTGTGTGTTACACACGCTGGCTTGACATAGATCTTGTCAATTCCAGTAAAACAAACAAAATAAAATGGACTGAGTGTTTGAATCTTGTTCCTTAGACAACGCAAAAAGGGGCAATCAAGGGTGGTTTTGGTAGAATTTTCAGGAAGCTTAGCAAGGTAATTTGTTAATTAACAGTGAGGAATAAGCACAATTGAGAAACGTGTGCGGGTATTCGAAAGATTGATTGCTTTCTGTTGATGTAGGCACCAGAAGAAGAGGAAGACGATTCACCTCGTGTGCGACCTATCTCTGTAGGTGTTGATGGACGCATTTCCAGTCGAACACCCAATCCATACAATATCCCCTTGGCTCCCGCACCCCCTCATTCGCAAAAGCGTAATGGTGGTGGTGGTGGTGGTGGTTCACAAGACTCGCTTAATATCTCTGATGGTATTCCTAATGATTACTTGATCCGCCCTGCCGCAAGTCGTCGTCCTCCTCCCCCAACACCTCCTTTAGCTGCTCATAATCATGTCAATGCTGTCGCACCACCGACACCGCCTCCTTCTAACGGTAGTACCACCACCAATACGATTAAACCCGTTTCGACCATCCCTCAAATGGCAATACCACAACAACCACAGCAACAACGCCATACTTCTTCGAGCAAACAGTCATATTCTATCTACAGCACATTCGGTTCTGATTCGTACAATTCAGGCAGCGAAAGTGCAATTGACATGATTGAAGAAGAGCGACAGCAGCACCGTCGACCAGAATTACCAGTGACGCCTCCACCATCATCATCAGCAGCATCCTCTCCAACACAGAGTACAAAGCAACCACCAATCACAGGGACTCACCTCAACACATCCAACTTTCCGCCACCTCCTTCAGATAATTTAGCTCAAATTGTAGCCAACAACATGCAAAGAAGACCTGGACGTGTAGCAACGACAACAGCTTCGACGATGCCATCACCACTCGAACAATCAAAACCGTATGCACATCTGGCCTTGACAAACAAAGACACATCCACACATACTATGGAAACAGCCAGTATTGAATCATTCAATACTATAGAAACAACTGAAAACGATCGGACAGGACTCGGAAGAGATAGTCATTGTGATACAATGGGTGTGATCAAGGAAGAACCAACAACAACGACAACGATGACAACACCTTCAGCGACCGCTAGCAGCGATTCCAGTGATGACGACGATGACGAGGACGAGGACGAAGAAGACGAGGATGAAGAAGATGTGTTTGTGGACGCAACAGGATCATCCCAAGATGATATTGAACGTGAACGCGGTGAATCAAAACTAAGCAAACGTCTAAGTGGCGGTCATTTCGGAAGTGCAGGCGGTTTAATGCTAGCTACAGCAGCGGCAGAAAAAACCAGTATGCCTACCAGCAAGCAGCAGAAACGACGGAGTAGACCACCTCCAGAAGATATCGCACAGGCCATGCTGAATTGGAAACGACATAGTGGTGGTGGTGCCAACAAACGTATGAGCGGCATGTCGGCCATTGCAAAGTTGGCGAGTGAAAATGGCGGCAACAAACTGACAGAAGAAGAACAGAGTCAAGAAGAGGACAATGATGATCTGACTCTCAAGGATAAGCAGTCAAGTCGTGAACAAGCTGCTGAGTTGCTAAATGGAACAAGTGGCAAACCTCGAGTTGTTCAAAGCAATGGTACCAATAACGAAAATAAGAGCACTACCTCCACCTCCACCTGCACCTCCACTGCTATTGTATTTAACAGCAGTCGCCTTCCAACACCATCACCTCCTCCTGAATCCGCTACTACCACTACTACAACGGTTAGCACCACTATTGCCAGCACCGACAAAAAACTGGATCAGCAAGACCAGCAGCAAAAGCAACCCCATCATCAAAGCAGCAATCGATCTCTCAAGTACTTGTCCGATGACTTTTCGAAATCGTTAGACGATGCATGGAATAATTTAGATCCTGGTATTGCTCAAGTCCTTGATCCACGATTATTGCCTGAGCCTGGTGATGCTGCTGCTGCACGTCAACCCTCGCCAAAACCACAACCACCATCCAAGGGCCATACGCATCAAGAGGCAAAGGAAGCAGCACAGCACTTGTGGGACGAAGACGATGTCATTACAACACGGGAGCGGATAGCAGAATGGCTCGGTCAAGGCAAACCATTCAATAGCGATGCATTGGTGCATTACATGGAGAACTTTGAGTTTTCTCATATGCGTCTGGATAGTGCTTTTAGGTAAGTAAAAAAACAACTCTGAGTGAATGGGGAGGTGGAAGTCATGACATTCATGTGTGTCCTGCGTACTTTTTGTAGAAAATTGTGCAGCAAGCTCTACTTTAAGGCTGAAGCCCAACAAATTGATCGCATTTTGGAAGTGTTTGCCAATCGCTACTGGAAATGTAATCCTAGATCGATTCTCAAAAGTGCAGGTAAAAGCTATGAGCCACCTCTCCTTTAGAAAGACCTATCATCTAATATGCATATCTTGTGTCATTCAGATGTCGTCTATGCTGTTGTCTATTCTGTGTTGTTGTTAAATACGGATCTGCATGTTGCACAGGGCAACTACAGTCGGATGACTCGGCAAGAGTTTATCCGAAATACCATGGCAGCCGTCCACGATCAGCGCTCTGTTTCCATGGAGATTGAGAGAGGGTCGATCGAATTTTCCAAGGAATGGGAAATGGAAGTAGAGTCTTATTTGAAGGTTTGTATCCATAGCAAAGTATCTTTTTTCGGTTGGGTCCTATATAGATGATTGACTGTGTAATTTATATAGGAACTTTATTCTTCTGTCAAGCAATACCAGATTCTGCAACCACTTACAAGGAAATCCAGCATGCATGATTTCGTGGAGAAACGTGGAAGTATATTGGGTGGAAAACGCGTAGTCGGTTTGAAGCGTAGTGTTGGATCCATAATCCGACGATCAGCGCGTGAAAGCATGCTTTTCCCCGAAGAAGTTCAGGTAAACAAATAATCACTTTCTTCTAGAAAACCCCTTCTATGGAGGCCTAACCTTTTTTGTCACTTTTTCATGTCGTTTAGCCTCGTACAAGCTCAAGCTCTGGACCAAGACCATCATCTCCTTTACCACGATCACCACGCCGTGAATCATTTTCATCGATCGGTTCAGCTACTTCATTTGGTTCACGCGCAGCCCGTGTATCCACTCTATCTCCATCGTTCCAACCCATGATCAGTTTCATGGATACGCATGGATCAGCTCTGTTTGCCAATAAGCCGCCATATCTCAAGGAAGGTGTCGTCATGCGAAAGCATTTGTTGGAAAATGCTACACATAAGGCCCGTCATCGTGAATGGAAAGAGTGTTTCCTAGTTGTGACCGAAGGTGAATTGAAAACGTATGCTCTTCAGTCATCATCAGCATCTGCTGCTGGTGGTGGTAATGGTGATCGTACCATGCTCCGTGCAAGCAGTGCTAGCTTTGCCAACTTGGCCGATTCGTTGAGCAAGTCTGGCGCACAGGTGTCAGCTTCCTTTGGTGGTGCATCAAGCAACAAATGGGCTGTATGTGAAAGTTTTCATTTACAAGAGTAGACAAGGGGGGGAAAGATGAAAAGCCAAATTAATTGATATATGGACCTTTTTTGTAGTCACAGTCTCAGTTAATAGGATCCATTGCATTAAACCACACTTTATCCAACGTGCTTCCACCACCGGGGTATAACCGGCAACGACCCCACGTATTTGCCATCCAACAGCCTGACGGCGGTGTCTTTCTTTTCCAAGCCGCTTCTCAGGATCAAGTGAATCAATGGGTGCAAACATGCAACTACTGGGCAGCTCGACAAAGCAAAGAGCCATTGCCCGGTGGTGTCAGTAATATGGAGTATGGATGGGGCGCATGTTTACATGATGTTATCATGAACTTGGACACAGATGAGGCCGTAGTACATCATGGTGCCGGTCAGCATTTTCAAGATCCAGATTCAATTGCCATCTATGACTGGCGTCCTCCATCATCTCCACTTGTTGCAAGCACACTCGATGAAAAGCAGCAATATGCAGCGTTGCAGAAGCATTTGAAAGCGCTGGATGATGAAATTAATATTCATCGAGAATTAAAAACACGCATGATTGCGAAGGTTGGTTTTATTTTCTTTGCTTTGTTTGGCCAGACAGTTGGGAGAAAGATGAGAAGAAGGTACTCAGTATGGAATCATTAGTTCCCAAGTCGTTCGCAGAACCACGTCAAGGCCATGCATAATTGGGAAGCCAAGTCTAAATATCTCCTCCACGATATCATCAAGTACCAAAACTACTGTGATGCTCTCGAAAAAAGCATACAAGAACAGCAAAAAGTGATAGACGCAGAAGCTGCTGATAAGCAGCATCAGCAAGACGAGATCCATTTGGATTATCACGAAACGAATGTGGATCTTTTCAAGGAAATCGGAGACCAGCTGCGCTTGGCCTTTTAAAAATATTTATATATACCATTCTTGTTTGATACACTTACGTTCCTTCTTTCTTTCTCTAATAACGTGCACTTATAAAAAGCCGTAGTAGTATCTGTTTCTCTCAAATTGTCATACATAACACGGATGTAATTTTAAAAATCAAATTATAAGGATGACAAGTTCCAATGCATTATTTGTATTGTCATGCGGAGGGGACGAGACTCAATCTCATTGGATTTGACTAAGCAATAGCCTAAGGCGCAGCTGCTGCACCATTTTCCCAAATTGACACTTTACCGAGGATCCATCCACCAACCATCCTTAAAGAGCATGCTCTATGCTTCAGGCAATCGGCCGATATTTCCCATTTTTGCTAGCTTATGACCTCCGGTTCACCGCGCTTCTTTGTATTCTACGTTATACTACTTGCTATGATCTTTTCTTTTCCTTCTTTTCAAACAATGGACGCTTTTGTTCACGCCAAACAATTCTATTGGCATGTATCAAGGCACAGCTGCTGCGCAATTTCCCCAAATTGACACTTTACCGAGGATTTAATCATCCAACCCACCCTTAAAGAACATGCTCTATGCTTCAGGCAATCGGCCGATATTCCCCACCGTTGCTAGCTTATGACCTCCGGTTCACCGCGCTTCTTTGTATTCTACGTTATACTACTTGCTATGATCTTTTCTTTTCCTTCTTTTCAAACCATGGACGCTTTTGTTTACGCCAAACAATTCTAATTGGCATGTATCAACATAACTGTTTCAGTAATCATTTGGTCCTACCCAGAAAAATATGTCATGGACTCGACCACACTTTTGGCATCAAAGTAGGATATATAAAGTCGCAAGAAACGTCTCAACAAAGGCCATCTCTTCTAACAGCCAAACACACTATTTTCTCTCTATATACTGCAGTACTTTTTGCCCGAGAACTCTACCAATTCAATATTCCCATCAAGCGAAGCATGACAGCAACAACAAATTTGGAGTCTAACAACACTATTTCTCCATCTTTTCCTTATGCGAAGCTGCTTTCCGCCAAATCTGTTGATACCCGAATTGATGACTTGTCCAAGCATTCATTGATCGTCAGGAACCACGAAACTCACGATGTCTTTTCTGATTCAGCAGGCCATATCAAGTATGTTGTATACAGCTCTTATACATTAAAACGTCAGCCATTGCAGCAAGCATTGTGCTGCAATAATCATAAAGACAGAGATCTCATTGATGCACCAATCTAATACTACGTCGTACTACTATATCCTATCTAGCCATCTCTCTCACCACTATTTGGCAGCCTATTCCTTGGGCGCCAGTATGGATAAGCTTCAAACCATTTACGACGTATACGCGTCATACATGCGTCCTCGACCCCCTTCTATTGGTGTTCTGACTGACAAGACGTACCAACAGCACCTTGGTAACCGTGACGCGTACACAAGCTACCTGGAATACTTTACAAAAGAAATCGAACATCGCGGCATGCTGGATGCAATCCGTTTTTGGATGTTCCACGACAACGAAAAAGACAACATGTTGCCCCGTGTACTCGGTAGTGGGATCCATCCGTTGATCCATCTTGGTTATGCCGTTGAATTTAACCTACCTTTGATTGCTGCGGAGAGCCTTTCCATGGCTGCTAGTTCTGAAGATACGCTCAAGCACTTTTTTGCGGCAGCAGCACCACCAGCAGTACCCAATCAACAAGCCAGTGCTACTTGCAGTATTAAGGACATCGTAGCCAAGGTTAATTGCGATCCAGCCTTTGATGGTATTGTCAAGTTTACCGACAAAATCAAAGTACTTTCTGTGCTGGCCAGTGCACATAAGGCCGGATCTAAGATCAGCGAATATGTAGCTCAATGGAGCATCAAAGGTAATCTATTACAAATGTTATCTTTTGAAATATATTGTTAAAGTTATTGCTAGTTCTTGGCTGTCTCGCTTATAGCTCAGCCATGGTAAAAACATAACAAAAGCACAGACTAATCATTATTATATGGCTATGTAAAAGATCTAAAATCCAGTCTTCAAGAGCTGTATACACAAGTAATGCTGCTTTATGCTTCCACGGGTATTCGCGGCAACAGCAGCCAGAGTCCAAAAATTGACTTTTTCTTGGCACATTGCTTGACATCTATCCATGCAGCACACACGCTATTGCCTTACTTGACCCCTCTTCAAGCCGAATGGCTTCTTCGTGGTCATCTGGCAACGACGTTGGTGTGCTATATTGGTTGTGGACGGCCTCAAGTGCAACCTGAGTCGCTTGTCAAGTACGAGGGCACGAACATCAAGTCTTTGACATCATTATCTGCTGTTCCTGATGCATCTGATGATGATACGAGCAAAACGAAGTGGCATGAGGTAATCAAGCGCTCTCTTGCTCCTGAAATACAAGAGCCACATTATATCAAGGTCGTGCGTGCACTTGCGCTGGGCCAAGTGGTTTTTGACGATCCCCCTTCTTTGAAAGATGTATGGCTAAAAGCCGCACAGCTCACCATGGACGTTGCTGAGCGATCCGCTGGTGAAATATCTGGTTGGGATTTTGCTGGAATTGGATTCGACGAAACCTGGCAATAATAGTAATGGTTGCTAAGCGCAATGAACAAAGATTCTCGCCTCAATAAAGTTATCAATTTATGCTATAATATACCGCCTAAAGCATCAGACTGCATTTCTAAAGCAAAAACGTGTTTTAAAAGGAAAGTGCTATTGAGGTCTCATCAAGTCTAAGAACTAGGAGAGACAATGGATAGTCTCTGTTATTTACTGTATATACCACTTTTGCACAGCATATCAGGTCATCAATATCGAGCATGATATGCTCAGTGAATGGCTGGGCCGTCGTTTTCTATTACTGTAGTCAGGAGATCAAGCTTGAACCCGCACATCACCGTACAGTAATAGTGTCGACGACTTTCTCACAGAGGCAGGATGGATTGTGTGGGCACAACGACTTGAGGAAACCAAAATACTGAATCTGGAACTGACAGCCGTGAAAGGTGTTACTGGTGCTGTCCTTGAGCATTTTGAACAAGTCGAAAGCTCGGTGCTATTGCGTGTTTCACGGATCTATAGTCTCATCAATGCAGGCATCAATGCTTTTCGTATCATTGAAGGATCTAGTAAAAAGATTGAAGTCGTGGGGTGTTCAGGATTATCTCGGACAGATGATCTTCGTATGCCATACAACATATTTTTAATAATTGAGTACCATTGCGGTGATATTTGCAGTCTGGCTTGTACTTTTATTTATAATGAGTTGATAAACAATATTGGCAGCATGTTTAATTAATCAATTTTCCAGGTTGGATTGTTGTGATATCTGTATAGTCAAGCATCGATTTGAAATGTTTACATATACACTTACTAGATCCAGGATTGATGGAAAGGCAGCACGATGTGGATCTGGTCGGCAGCGAGTCTGGTGCCCTTTCAAACCTGAGCGAAAGCACAGACTAATTTTTTTTGGTTACCCTATGCTTTCCTTATATATCAGAAATGCTTGTGTACCTCTTTTCGTCACAAAAGGGATCACCTCGCACTCTATATGATATAGTCTCTGTGACAGAAGAGAGAAAAAAAAATGAAGTGAGAATATTCTTTCTTCCGTTGTTGAATAGAAAGACCATCGTCGCCTCCTCCCCTCTCCCTTTATGACCAAAAAAAAGCAGTCTGTATGCTGTATGTATGCGCATACGCGCGTTCCTGTTCATGTCGGGCAGTGGATTTTTAATGCCCGGTATTTGGATTTCATTGGCCAACGTGCTGCTGCAACTATACTCGAACCGCTTTGAGAGTTATACTACGCAGAGGACTTATTGGAGTCAAGTTTACTGACAAAGGTCAATATTTATGGTAAGCGGGAACATTATCATCTTCCACATGCTAGGATATATACGGGATCAAGAACATCTTGAAATATAGCGATTCCCGGAAAGTGTTCCTCATATTTTCTGGGCAAATTCTAACTACAGTACTTTGTCTGTTTAAACTCTATATGTAACAAACTCATGAGCAGTTGTTCAGTAAATGAACCCAGTGTCTTAAGCTTGATGCTTACCAAACGAACAACAATACGATAGCAAGCTCAAAACGCCAGAGAAAAGGCAAGCCTGATACAAGACGCTGGAGTGCTACTGTGTGCTGTCAACCAAGATATAAACATCACCCTAGTAAGCTTCCTGGATCCCAACTCCGCTCAATGGATTGGATAGCATTGTAATACCCTGCAGATGCGGTAACGAATAAACAACAGCATTCAGGATGTCTAGATTATATAACTAAAGTCATCCTGGCAATAGCAACATAGAGAGCAAAAGCTAGTTCAGTCTTCCTTACTCTCAAAGAAAGAAAAAAAGAGATGCAAACGAATTATTGAAAAGTAATATGCAAAAGGCAACCATGACTGAATCAACCCACACTTGTGACAAGCATTTATGTACTGACGTGAGTCAGCAGGAAGCAAAGGTAGTCTAGGAACGAGGAGCTCAGGAAGAGCGCAACACAGATCTTTCTTCTTTGGATAGTGACAAGTGATGCGTGTGTCAAACCTCGAACGTTCCAACAGCTTTCCCTTGAAACGAAAACTCCGTAGAGTGAAAGCGCATTGTTACGCAACGATTTGGCCAATTTACTTGGTACTCAAAGTGCACAAAGGAATGGCGGGTGAACAAGGTGATCAATGGAGCAACGAGTTACGCGCAAAAGGGTCAAAAGATGTACAGTAGGAAGTCATCGTTTATGGTGTTATTCTTCTGATCGTCCCAATGGATCTTGAAAGCTGCTAAAAAAAACGTAGAACCCGCACAAAAACAAACGAACCGATTAACTTTATCAGCAGCAATGAAAATCAATGAAGGGTGAGTCAGTTTCACTAGCGGCAGCGTATACTTACCATGAGCGGTCAGCTTATCTGCGGCAGCACACTTGGATAGAGTATGAATTCGGAATGGATGGAGGGAGGTTACACGGCGTAGTTCAGAGGGATGGCGAAAATTATAAAGCAACAGTAGACAAGCACGCTTCACAGTAAAAGATAACGATCTTTTTTTATATACTGCAGCGTTGGAGTCAAGTGTGTGTTGTATCTATTCCCGCACACAGCACATGCAATCAAAAGATACTGATCAAATGGAATAGTCTGTGGACTACGCTCTATACTCATGCTGTTTACCTTGTTGGGTGAAGAATAGAAACTGGCTGCTGGGAGGATCGTGTTCTTAATGTTTACTAATGCTGGATCAGGAACAACTGATGCCGTAGAATCTGTTAAATTGTTTACCTTGTCAATCACTCCTGTATTGCCATTTGATTGCTCACAGAAAAGCATTTCTTCCGTGAATCTACATGCTCATTCACATTCGTGTCTTTGTTTTCGCTTGACACGGTGCCGTGCACGGACCCCCTCACAACCAAGCGGCGACAGCATCGGAGGTACAGCAGCCCATGGTGAGAGACACGTACCATTACCGCCGAAGCACGCTTGTCTACTTGACCATCAGGTACCACTCCTCCTTTCATTTCCTCTGGTGCTGTATCTTTTGTTATGCCATAGTAGGCAACCCACAAGTTGATACGCAACCCGTTATCTGGGCCAATGAGAATTCACGGGGATTTGAAGTCCCGAACGAGAAAAATGTCTATATAAAGCGAGCAATTTCGCCTTTCTTTTTTCTCTTCTCTTCAGTTCGTTTTGGTACAGCATTGGTCTGTAGTACAGATGCACTGTTTGGTGCCATGATCAGGTCATTGCTTGTGCTGGCTATTGTCATAATTCTTTTGATGATCGGCAGATTCAGTGGTCCGCCCTGAAAGAAAATTTGCAATATATACCAGTGGGAATGTGGTCATATACTCCGGCAGCCGATCGTGAACCTTCGGGTGCATGTGATGCCAACGGTATATGTTGGGATAATTGAAACGAACTTTTTTTTTATTATTTATTACACACAAATAAGAAAATGATAAACAAAATAAAAATATATTTTTCTTTTTCGCACTTTCCGCATAAACGTTTTACCGCTTTTGCCTCGCCTTTTTTTCATGTGCACGACAAGTTCCTTTTTCTTTTTTCGCGAACAAAAAGCTAATTACTCCCCCCTCCATCCATTCACAGCTCCGTGCTAAACAAAGCGGGGAACAGTGACAGTGGCTCTGTATCGTAGCCGAAAGTAACACGATCACAATGCTTTGGCACTCTTTTTCACTTTCTGTGTTCGCCTAAATTGCCAAAGCAATTGTCAAGAAAAAAATTGTTATCGAGGATATGGTCGGTTATTTTATAAGAGGCAACGCCAGAGCATACGCCAGCAGACCTGTATAATTGTCAGATCTGTAAAAAATTGGAATGTTTTTTTTTCAGCTGTTCGTCTCTCTCACTCTTCCTGCACGTAGCTTATCACAACACAATTTTCTTATCATTTTGGGTTTCACCTGGATCGAAAAGCTTGCACTGATCTTTCCGATGTGCCTGCTTTTAAAGCGTGATTCTTGTAACAGCTCTTTCCCTCCCCTTACACCTTCACTTCTCTCTTCCTTTTCTTATTTAACTTTACTTCGTAACATATTTTCAAGGTATGCGTTACCTATTTGAAAGTGATGATCGCTCACCAAAGATATCAGGGGGACCTGTTGAAGATATGATATATTTGCTCTACCAAAACATGCACGCACCCACACACACAGGGATGCTGTGTTTTCCAGGCCAAGCGATTCGTTACTTATATATGACTTTTGCGGCTCGCAAACAATAAACCCGAGTATTGATTGAAGCCTTTTCCTTCGTATCGAGAAGTCGATGGTTTTAGAAAGAGCCTGTTCTAATGTGTATCTGCGTATCGCTATGATAGCATAGATTTAATGAAGTTACTGGTGGTTACAATAGATCAATCTTCAGGGTCCCCCTTTTCCAAATAAAATTCAGGTGAGCTACCTGGTTCGACTTGCTTTTCCTTTGTCGGACATATTATTTCACGAGTCCGGATTATGTTATACAGGCTTTGTTCGATTAAAAGCCTCGTGCCAAATTTCTTTTCGCGCGTCCCCTTTCACATACACGTAATATGACTGATTTGATCTCGATTTTGCCTCCCGAATCATTCAGTACATCTTCTCGTTTATCGGACAGCGGGCTGTGTCGAATGTGTGAAAGTATGTCGCCGCTGGTTATACGCGATCCCCACTTACCAGACAGCCCTGTGGACACTGGTGGGAATCTCGCCTGATGCATGGAACAAAAGGAGCGACGTGATGCTTCAATGTGGACAACAAGTCGAATCAGTATACATCAAATCTCAAGCCACGTATAAAGTACTGGAACGACTTGCTTGGCGAAGATACATCATTCGCTTCCTTGGTGAAGTAAAACGATACTCTTTTTTTTTGCGTTAAGAGGATCGCGTATTCGGTAGTACTTACTACTGCTTATGCGCAAAAGATATACTAAAGCTTTTTCTTTGTTTCCAATAAAAAAAAATAAGACATCAGCAACCATGTGCATAGCAAACAATTACAACCTATTGTCGACAGTAGCACGTTACTGCCAGGATTCATCAGATATTTCTCGCATACGCTAACTGCTCTGACGATTTCATTTCACACTTGCGATATCTCGCTGCCAATGCTACTGGACTTCTTGCCGTCATTAACGCATCTTTCAGTGATGTTTGATGGCCGCACTAACTTATCAGACGCTACTCTTGAACAAGTTGATGGCAGAAGCAGACACAAAAGGCCACCGATACACAACATTATCTTCTTAAGACTGGACGGTGTTCTCAGTTTTAAATACCGGATCCGTCCCTTATTGCAGCGTTGCTCCCACATCAAGTACTTGATATTATCGCCTTACTCACGATTCAACAACGTATCTCCAACCAACATCTATACAGCTTATGAGCTGTGCCCTCTATTACGCTACATTATGTGGGAATGCAGCGAACCAGTCATAGCAGACAGATGGATTTCACTATCAAGAAGCACGAGTGCTTATATTAAGTAACTGAAAGGAAAGCATCGAATGATGGCGAGGAAGGCAGTATGGCTTATGAACTGCTATTCAACGGCAAGGGACACGAGAGGATCATGCCGATAGTAGTAAAATCGCAGCCGATACTAGAACATTTACGTATAGTCGCCTGTGGTCTTTCTGATATTCATTGCTGGGATGTCTTGGCACGCAACCAATTCACACAGCTGACAAGTTTGGGGTTGACGGACATCACTGGTATGTCGAGCGAGGATTGGTCCCAGATTTTGCTCATGCAGCAACAAAATGAGATCTTGGAAGTTGGAAATCGCGCTGGGATAACGCAGTATCTGAACAGCATTATCGCAACCATCGGTACGCTGCAACGGCTCCGTATACTTTCCTTGCGAAATTTCCTTCACATGTTCAGCGAGAATCCTCTTTGCGATCTTACTCCGCTTCGACGTTTGCAACAGCTTGAAAAAATGCGTCTCACGAACATACCCATCGACAACCAAGGTCTAATGCAGTTGTGCGAACCATCACAGCACCCACTACTGTACCTGCATTCAAGGGAGGGGGGGGGAAGGATAGTAGAGGGCTGCTATTACATCAAACCATGCCTAGAAACTCATTGAATGCGTGGGGATGGCAACAACAAGAGTAACACTAATTTTGTTTAGAGTGAAACGTGTGTATTTCATATTATATTACATTTTTCAAGTCTTCAGAGAAAGACTGCCGACGATCGTACCAGTAATCGTCAGGCGTCTCATAATTAACATAAACCATTTGAAACTTTCCACCTGGTCGTTCTTGCATTATACTATCCATTTCAATCTGCTGCTCTGGCCGTGGCGCGCTGGGAGGAAAAGATGGATAGTGATAGACACGGTATCTCTTTACATTTGTGAGTTTTTTGATAATCTCCAACGCCGGATCAAACTCTGCTTGGATGGCCAGATCGACCAAACGACAACCGTTATCACGCACCCCATCCTTGTCATCGTGATTGAGCATCATATCTCCAAATTGCATCCATCCACTATCTGTAGTGTTGTAGAGTCCCTTGATAACCAAGTGTCGTAGCAACGAGCAATTGCTGGCAATTGCTTCCAATACCGAATCATCCACGTCGAGGACAAACTGGAACTTTTTGTTGGTTGCAACTTTGGTGTGATAGAACGGCCATTGCAAAGTGAAGGCGTACTGGTTCTTTTTTGGATAGTAATAAGACGGTATACCAAGGATACGTTGGGTAAGCTCGAGGGCTTCTAGTGCTGGACAACACCGGCCGGAAAACATTTCCACCAATAGCTTTTCGACGAACGACGGGTCATCATCAACAGCCTTTGGTTTCTTTCGTTTTGTTATGTCGTCGTAAATGATTTCGTCGTTCGATATCCGTAATTCCTGTAACTTGGGCGCTCCGAATTTGACAAGCAGTTGTAAGGATTGAATTATGGTGGCCGTGTCGTAATACAGGTACACGAGTTTGAGCGTTTGATGATGCTGTCTAAAAACTCGTGTATGATCCTTGTCTGATATTTTGATGTTTCTGCCAACCAAGACAAGATGTTGTAAACCATCACCATGAACAGCATCATCATTATCGTAGTAATTTTCGTTGATAGTGAAGGTGGGAGGCATTTCCGCGTCGGGGGTCAGAGCTAGCGTTTTTAGTCGAGGACAATGATCTAGTGCACCATTGATACAGTCGCCATGGTGAAGTGCGCCTGCAGATTCCAGTAATAGGTGTTTTAGGTTAGGACACCGCCGTAGGATGCCACATAGTTGCCCCGTTGAAACATCGCCAAAAGAGTCACAATGCTGGAACGCAAGTTTGAGATATGTAAGTGATGCATAGTCATGATGGCCGCTGAGTAGTATCTGTTTTCGCATCGATGGCGGGATGCTGTATCTTGCGTCCACTGGGGTACTCTGCGAGAAAGTTACGTGCTCCAATTTCGTACAGGCAGGTAATAGGGTGTTGACGACCATGTGGATTGGAATGTTGCAATTGCTAAAGTTGACTTGTTTCAAGGAAGGACTTTTCTGTAAAGCTTGAGCGAGAAATTGCGAGGCCTGTTCTGTCAACACCAAATCGCTAAAGTCTGTTTTTTGCCATTTTCGTAATTGATAGAAAAGGAAAGAATATCAGTGTAAATGTTACCCATCGTTGGTAGTATTATACACACGGTTATCTTATATTTTACATCTCGTAGTAATGGCTTGAGCATCTATTACATGATACTTACATAGCTTTTCAACTGTCTTGTTATTCATTCCCGAGTAATAGGCCATAAGCGAAAGTATGCTATCCGCCAAATCAATGTCCATGGGGCCATTCAGGACAGCCCTTGTACAACCTGGCGACGGCAGTAGCAGGGATTGCATTTTGGCTTGATCCATTTTGGGTAAAAAAGGTGCAATTGTCTCCCAAAATTCTGGGTATTCGACCATGATGATGCTACACCAAGCTGGACAAACACTAGCACATTCTAGCAAATCATACACTTCAAAGCATTCGAATATTTGGTAGATTATCTCATCTGGAAGCAGTTGAATCCGTCCTTTCCTCATCGTCCCCGTCGTCATTGTGGAAGTCTGTTCTTTGGTTGTTGCTAGCGCTTCTTCAGATGCTGATGTAATTCCTCGCCGCTGTTGCTGTGATGGTGATGCTAGTGGTGCTGTACATGCTGGGGATGAATTGTCTCTTTCCTTTAATGGCGCCAAAAAACCAATGGTACTGCTGTCATCTTCATCGTCGTCATCGTCGTCTTTTACTGCTGCATTAACAAATTCCAAGTGTCGCCTCCAGTACTCCAACGTTAAATATAGATTGTCATCATTCTGTTTATAATTCAATACAGGTTGCTGAGAGTACTTGAATACAGTAGAAGTGGTTGGTACTGTTGCGTGAGTTATCACTTTTGACGTTGTCAGTTGCTGCTGCTCTTTCTGCCGCTGTTTCGCGGACCAGCTAGTGTATAACCTCTCGTCATGATAATTACTAGCAACGGTGGCCGTTGCTCTTTTGAATTGCGTGTAGACTGTCGCTTGTGAAGAAGTGGTCTTGTACATTTGTTGTTGAGCGGATAAAGACGAAGAGAAAAGAATCAAGTAATGGGAAGCGGGAAAAAAAGAAGAGATCGAAGCGGCTGATGCTATGAATTTTATAAAAAGCATGTCAAGTTAAAGTTGCACAATGGCACAGGAACATGTTTCTGAGTAATACATAACGTGGCTGAGTACTTTAGGTGAAGCATACAGTTCGCTATAGACCAACAAAGCCTTTCGGCTTATTATTCCGGTTGTGAAAGGATATACTTTTTTCTCTCTTTATCCCTTCCTCCCCTTCAATTTCACTCTCTTTCTATGTAATTCTAAAGAAAATTACTTATAAGAAGGAGCAAATACGTGCCGTTAAAACCTTTATTCAGCCACGATATAATGAGCTGTGATTGTCGCGGAACTCTTGGCTTTTGAAAAAAGTTGCCCGAGCCGGTTATGCCTGGGTGATTGTGTGGTTGGTGTTGCTATGCTCATATCGAAATGACAGAATAAATAGCGCGATTACACATATCGCAAGCTTGTCAAAACTACCGATGGTTGACTTGGCTCTCATACTTTTGATTTCCGGATCTCACCGCGGATGATGTAGCACGCTTTTTATATGCAACGCGTCTACAAGAAAAAGCTATTTACAGACATCCGTAAAAACTACCTTTTCATTTAGCTCTCTAATATCTTTATGTTAAATTCGGACAGCTTGGCGGCCAATGTCACTAATGTTTTGCTTTGTAGCGCAAGACGATAAGAATTTATGCAGATGGGTGGTTGATCCTTTTGTGCAGATTACCTACCGTGCACCATCATGGTCTGAAATATCTAGACGGATTTGGTTGGTATATGATACACAGTAGATGAGTAAGCCCACGTTTTCTGGCGAAGCGAGATACAATAGTTAACGTTACTACGTGTCATGCATCGATCAATCTTGCTTGTCCTGTTCTTGTACTTTTCTACAGCAAATTTCTTTTGGGTATGTCATTGGCTGTTTCTAGGTCTTCCTGTTTCCAACGTTTGCGATAACCTTTCATTCCCGGAACCACTTTGAAAACAATGGATTCTCTTCAATTGCATGGAAACTGCTATCGCATCAAAGGCAATATATAATCGTATTATACATTGAAGTGCTACTGCTTTTTTCACTATCCGTTTTGCAAGCAAGCAACACAATCAGACAAACAAACGAGACGACACTAGTGCTTTCTTGTGATAAGTATGTATACCCTATCTAGGACCACCTCATGCACCCTCCGCCTAGTTCTTCCCGCAATCATTTTTGCTATTGTCTCTCTCACACTCACACTATGTATCAAATGCATGTGCCAATGATATTTTAATATGCTTGAATATACAAACCAAGTAGTAGACACTTTAATACTGTTCATTCGATACCAAGGTCGATGCGAGTGACGCCCACTTGAGCTATGTACGGAGAGTCGCAGACCGAGTGTCTACATGTAATTTACCATTCTCAAACCGATGATAAAAAGCATCAGGTTTTCCATCATACTCATAACGAATACGGGTCAAGTGTTCGTAATGAGCTCATCCAGCGGCCTTTGATCATTCTCACAAGCCGTCTGTTGGTAACGATATAATTTTTTTTTGATCCGACAGCATCAAGGTCCCGAAGAGAAGGGTGGCTTGACAGGGTTAGCCAATGAAATGCACCGTGACAAGCAAAAAAAAAAAAGAATTTTTTTTTTTCTTGCAGAAGGTCCGCTGGGCGATATATCAAGAGGCGGTGAGAGCGTGTTTAGTTTGTTCTTCCTCTTTCCTTGCTCATTCACCATGGATATTCAAGTATGTTTACCTTAATCTCAATTTCGTTTATTCATTCAACCCCTAAAAAGTATTCAAAGAAACTTACATGGAACCTTAAATTTGCTATATAAAATAGACCGAAAAGGCCTACCAGAAGCAACACGGTATCTTCCAGAACTCCAAGAACGCCTCCAAGCGCAACAAGCGTTGGGTCAAGGACGTTGGCCACGGTTTCAAGACCCCCAATGAGGCCAAGTACGGCAACTACGTTGACAAGAAGTGCCCCTGGGCTGGTGAGGTCAACATTCAGGGCCGTATCTTGACTGGTGTTGTCATCTCTAACAAGATGAAGCGCACCATTGTCCTTCGTCGTGACTACCTTCACTACGTCCCCAAGTACAACCGTTACGAGAAGCGCCACACCAACATCTCCGCTCACTTGTCGCCCGCTTTCGACAACTTGGCTGTTGGAAAGTAAGTACTTTTTTCTGTTTATTGACAAAAAGAATAAGCCTGCTACTTTGCTTTCTATGCAACTTCCGTTCGAAAAAAGTATTGTATTGTTATCGTGTGCTGGCCCTTTATTTCTCTTTCCAGCTGTGGGAAAAGAAAGGAGGGTGATGTATATATGTATATCTTTAAAGAGTGGCTTGTGTGTGAACTGGTTCTGTACTATTCACACATGAGATATACCTCTTTTGAGGCCCTCTTATATATTTCGGACGAGGTAGTTGGTAAGGTAGCGGCTTACCAAGCCTTTGATGTCCCTTTTCATACTCACGCTCGTAATTCTTTCCTTTTGCAATAGCGGTGACATCGTTACTGTTGGTCAGTGCCGTCCCCTTTCCAAGACCATCCGTTTCAACGTCTTGAAGGTCCAGAAGGCCAAGAGCGCTTCCAAGCAGTTCACCAAGTTCTAAGTTATCTCTACTAGCACTTGATCTTTTAGTTGTTGTTGCTTCCAATTAATAAAAAACCATTGAGGGGTTGTTCAACAATGAACTTGGATTTAAAAAAGTCATTTGAAGCTGTTATATCCATGGGATATCAGAGGAGGTGATATAGGAGTAGGAGAAAATAGGTTTGCCATACCAACCTTGACGTTGCCTAGCATCGAACCTTTACACACCCACCCAGGGAAGGATCTTAATCCACATTCCTTCATTCACGCTTGATAAGTTGTTGCAGACGTAGATCTTTTATCAGATAGTAGTTGAGTACTATTAAATACTCTTTTCAGAAAGCAAATGCACCTAATGGCGGGAACAAAATTCATGTTGCACGAAATATGTAAAAAAAAGCTCAGGGAAACCATGGACCACCTCTTCTCATATCGTAGACGAGCTGGCATGAAGGTGTGCGCTGTGCTCCCAATTGATGTCGCTTTTGCTTTATGGAAAGATAAAGCTGTTGTCTCTCAAAAGGTCAAACCTACTTGACATATCAAAGGTAACAAGGATACAGTAGTGGGAGAGGGGTTATTTCCAACATAATGAAATATACATTTCCAACGCGAAATAATGCGTTGGCAATGGAGATGTATCATATCTTGAATGGATGAGGGTGGCAAGACAGACTCCAAGGTCGAGGACTGTTCTTAGGCTGCTTTGATATCAAGAAATGCAAGTACCGGTGGAATGTCGTACAGTCGAGATTTAATGCCTAGTCAGCCATATATAGTGTGAAAGCTCAATCTACAGCATCACAATTTAATGACGGAAGCCTCCTAGTTGCACTACTGTACTTTCTCCAATGCTGGCATCGCCGCGAGTATATAAAGTGTAGTATATAAGCATCACTCGAGAAGTTTCAATAGCACGTTAGTCAAACTGATTGGTCTATATTATCCAGCGACAGCAGAATCACCTTTTCGAGTAAATGGACGACTTGGGCTGGTGCGCCACGCAATATGGAATTCATGACCAATTCCAGCATATATAGGACAACCTGCCTACATATAACCTGGGTCAAGTGGTGTGAGATGGTCATCACCAGGAAGGGGCTCATTTTTGTCGTTTTGGCGCAGGAAATCCTTCACAATGTCCTTTCATCCTTTTCGCGTTGTATTTACATGACCGGATACAAGACGCATGTAAACTATCAGAGTGTGGAGATGCACAGTCTTGCAAATAAATGACGGCTTCGCATACTTGAATATGGGGAATACATCTTATCGTGGGGGGAACCATCTACAAAAATTGGTTCACCTGTTTCATATGTAGTTTTTTTTGTTCTTCTGATATACATGACTTTAAATACCTTCTCTTGCAAAATATACTTTAAAATGATGGATTCTTTTGATACAGTCATTTAGGAAAATTTTGAAGCGTAGTAATTGTATCATATGCTGCTACTACTATAAAGTTTCGAATTTCAGATAGCATACTGGTACAATTTGATGCGCTTTCTCTTTGTGCTCATTGAAACATTTTGAGCAATTTGATATAAACTTTCTCCAATCCTTAGCCTGATCATACTACAACAACTTTTACTTTTGAAAGCAAAAACTACAACTGTTCAGCACTTTAAATTCTTTTTTGGCCGGCCTATAAAGAAAAAAAAAAAAAAAGACCCCCCCGCCGCCACCGGATTTCTCAGGCCGAGGGGTTGTCATTGCTGTTTGTCGCTGCTGTATCCCGGACATCATTACTGTAGTAGTATAAGACTAAATGTAAGCCATTTTGAAGGGGGCCCCGTAAAAGGGGAACCTAGAAAAAAGCGAGAAGCTTGCCTAGAACAACATAAAACCTTTTTCTCTAAAAGGTTTATTAGGCAAGCATTGTCATCTCTACATATCGATCCAATGTGCTATCTTGTCCGTGATGTGTATCACTTGAGACAGTTTTTATATACAACTGGTGTGGTAGATGGACTAGCTACCAGTAGGTGATGGATCGATTTTTCCCTGAAATGCTATTACTTGCGATCAATGTATGGTACAGAAACAATCTCTATATATGTACAACAACAAAAGGGAATTGCATAGTCCAAAAAAAGAAGGAGGGTGGGACTATGGGTCTATGACGGTCGTCGTCGTACATGAAAGAAGTAAAGTGTCCCAAAATCAACCAACAGGAAATAGCTACAAGTAAGGTTTCTGCAAGCACAAAACGCGCTACATCAAGTTACATCAAATTAATGTATGTATATATGTAATGCTGTGCTTCCGAGGGAGAAAATTATAATGCTGCACAACAAACCTATCCCCGCCCCCTTCCCCACCTTCCCCCCTCTTCTATACCCATTAGCGCACGCCTTTTTTTTCTCGACCCATTATTTCTAGAGAGATGATGGTGGTAGTAGTAGTAGTAGTCAATCCCGGTTTGCCATGTGGATGAACTTGGTTAAATCCTGGCCATGTACTTTTTACTGCCCGATAGTTGAGTTTGTAACTATTTTTCATTCACCCTTCTTCTTCCCGCCCTCTCATATATGTATATAGGATGAGGTAGTAGTAGTATGTAAGTTGATTAAAAGGTATATCACACAGAGTGAGCATCCGTGCATATATGTGCTGTGACCATAGCAACACACATTGCTGCTGGTTGCTATGGTATTGAATGCGTTGCTAATGGTAATTAATGCGTTGCCATCAAACATCGTAACATTTTCCTTCTTTTTAGAATACCAAACTACACACTTACAGATCATGCTTAAACAGGCAACATGCTCTCTTTGCTTAATGCATGCTTTCGCTTGTGCGTATGGGTTATCGAATGAAAGGGTATGTATAGAGTGTGTCGATCATCACCTTACACAGATGCAAGATTTCGAATCGAACCAAAACTTGTTTGGTAGAAGTAGCAAGTAAAGAAAGATGTTCTTCTTCTTTTTCATTCGCATCATCCTCTTCTTTAATCCAACAGCACAAAACACAACAAACAAGAGTGGATTTACAACTTATCTCATCAACCAACGACCCGCCCACCCCTTTCTTTTGTCGTCCCCTCCAGATCTTCCTATTACATGATATCCATCTATATTTTCCCCCCCCCCTTTTTTTTTCGAAAACAATAAAATGAAACAAGGCCCAGGTACTTTTTTGTTACTACATACTGATCTTGTGTAATCCTCAAAACAGCAGTCTCGAGAGAGGGAAAACCTCCTCCCCCTTCCCCTCCCTCCCTCTCCTTCGTAACACAAACAAAAACTGGATTGGCTTTTGGGTTGGTTCAAGTTACCATTTTCAGAACAGACTGCGTGCATGGTTTCTCTCTCTTTTTATATATACAGGGAGAGAGAGAGAGAGAGAGAGACTCTACGTACCAAAAGGAGGGGGGGGAGGGGAGAGCAAGAAAATAAGAAGCGAAGGAAAGAGAAAGAAGAGAGGACCGATCTGTTTTGGTATTGTTTTGCTTGTTTATTTACTGATCATTGTATTTACAATACTACACAGCGAACTGTAGTAGCAGAGTAATTGAATTGCAATAGGAAAGGATTGTTACTTGCCAATGGAAATCCATGCGGTCCTTGCACACAGAAAGAAAGAAAAAAAAGGAGAACCGACGTCATGTCACATTTTAACTTTCTCTCTCTCTCTCTGTTTCTGGAAATTTTTGAGAGAGAGATCAGTAATTGAATAGAGTCACCTATGCCTGTCCCGTCATTTCGTCATTCTGGAGAACACACACACACACACACACAAAAAGTTGTTATTATGCTACTACGTACGTAGTATGTGTGCCCTCACCCCCCTCTTTTCAAACAGTCCCTTTTTTTTTTTTTTCATTTGTGCGGGATGTGAAAATAAACCTCTTTTCAAGAGTGTCAACATTGAATTGCCCTATTTTTTCTAGACATGTAACCAAAGGATGAGAGTACCCCATGACGTTACTGTAAATTTTCCCCTTGTGACGTGATGGTTATTGCTTTCATTCTTATTAAGTAGCTGTTACTATAACACGAACAAAACAAATATGTTGAAAGGGTTGCTGGTGTTTAAAAAATCCATATCACGATTATTATGAGGGGATGTTTCTGGAAGAAAAAATGTAAATTAGACATATGGTGTACGTCCCACGTGCAACGTGTCAAGTATCCACTTCTAGGAAAAAAGCTTTTTTTTTTCTTGTCTTTTGTGCGATCCTATCGAGCTATACAAAGAGGACTACTGCCACATTACGTATGATGAAAAAAGAAAGCGAGTGTCTTTGTCGTGTGTAATGGTGATGTATATGAGAGAGTGTGTGTGTGTGTGGGGGGGGGTGGTACTAGCACCATGCAAATAGCATTATGTATACACATTTACGCACTCTTGCAAAATAACAGAATAACACAAAAATAAAGGGATCCTTCTGCTTGACTATTGCATGGCAGATATTTTTAACTTGCTCTGAGACACACACATTCAGTCAAAACGAACGCGTGTGTCTGTGGTGAATGCGGAGCGCTCATCCTTTTCTCTGTCGTCGTTGTCAATTGCTAATTCACTCTATAATTACAAAGTGTGTATCTGTATACAGTATATATGATACTGGTAAAGAGAGAGAGCGAGAGAGATGTCAGTTACACAAGCCGCGTGAGCGCGTGCATCAAACGTAATTCCGACTGTTCTCGTTGACCAGCACTACATACAACCCACTCTTTCTCTCTCTCTTTCTTTCTTTCTTTTCTCTACGCTTACTCTTTTGGCATATCCCTTTACTGCGAGTCTTGTGTAATACACGCCCTCTTTCTCAAAGAAAAAAAAAAAAAAAGACCGAGGAAAAAGAACTACATCCCCCTTTTTTTCTTTGCTTCTTCTTTAACTTTAAAACTTCTTGCACCATCAACTGCCACCGTAACAGTTACCGGGCAACAACAACAACAACAACAACAAATTAGACCACACAGAGCCTGCCAACACTCCACTCCACTCCACAAAACCCTCTCCAATCGAAGAAAAGAAAAAAGAGATACGACAACACCGCCGATACGCTTAGAGTTTTTGCTGGCCTGACTTTTTTTTTCTATTATATATTGGCTATTATACCGTAAAAGTACAGCCCTCTCCAAACAACAGTACTACAAACAGCCATACAACAAGCGTTTTGCTCTCTTTCTCTGCCACTACCAATCAGGTACAGTTCCTTTAAAATCATAGTTTTCTTACCTTGGCAACCTAAGAACATGCCAAACATTGTCGCCATTGAAAAGACGAGATCGGTAACCCTTTCTTTCCTATCTTTATAGGAAAAAAAAAGGACACTTTACACTGTGAAAGGTGACGCCCTCTCTCTACCTCTACTCCAATCATTTCCACAATCTATCCGTAAAACGAGACTCCAAAAGACCCAAAAACCCAACCATGGCGGATGCATACCCCTATCAACCTATAATCCGATTGCCGAAAAGCAAAACAAGTTCCACCTCAACGCGAAGCAACCGCCAAGATTCCATCACCCTTGGTAGTAGTAACAATGCCATGAATGGTGTTGCGGACCCCAAGGATACGATTGTCTCTGATATGCTTTATTTCGACGGACTGGATGGTGCAATCACTGAATCCGACATTTGTAGTTTGCTTCAAGATTGTCAACCTACAGAGTAAGTTTTTACCTTGAGTGTGTGTGTGTGTGTGTGTGTAATTGGAGAAAAGAAATAGGATGGGACCTCCTTTCCTTCCTTTCCTCACACTTATCTATCTTGTAGAATTGTGATCCACACGGATCGTGGCAGTGGTCATTTACGGTTCTCTGATCCTAAAATGGGTAATTTACTATCTCTTTTTCTCTCTTTTTTAAGTGTGTGTGAAGGTGGGAGGTGAGGGAGGGGAGTAAGGGTATCAATATGAAACATGGCGAATGCCAAACTGTGCCTGGATTTGCCCTGTGGGGTTCGAAACACGCTGCTGCATTATGATTAGCTTTTTTCTTCTCAGATATGGAAATAGACTAGCAGTAGCAGCAGCAGCAGCAACAGCAGCGTGTGTGTGTGTGTGTGTGTGTATGCAAAGAAAGGAAACAATCTGGAAGGAAAAAAACCATGGCAACAAAAACAAAAACTAACGCGATATCTCCACATTTTTTATTGAATTTAGCGGATCGAGTGTATTCCTTGTACAACGGATTCACGTTTCCAAACAATAACAGCAAACTGCAGTTTCGTATCTCGCATGACGGATCGTTCGAGCACGAGGCAAAGTGTTCGATCCTGCATGTAAAAAACCTACCACTCAAGATCGACAACAATGCCCTGTACGATCTGTTCCGACCGTTCGGGCCGTTGAGTTTATGCAAACCCATTGTGGAAGGCAGAACTTTTCGAGGCACGGCCTTTGTTCAGTACTTTTTCCAGACCGATTCGGATCAAGCACAGATGCATATGGTAAAAAAAAAAGTTATTCCCCACCCAACCCCCTCCCTCCTTCCTCCAACTCACTCTTTATTTACATATTGAATACGTGTATCTTTTATTTTTGTAGCATGGCAAGATGTTGGACGGCAATGCACTGTAAGTATTTCTCAACCCTGAAAGGAGAGGTGAGGTGAGGAGAGGGAGAAGAGGAAGGAAGGAGGAGAGACCTAACCACGGGCTCACTATCTTCAATGCCCCATCTACCACTTTTGATTGTCCTGTTGTGGACAGTGTGGTGTGGTGTTGAGCTGGGATGGGATGGGATGGGATGGGATGGGCTGGAGAGTGAAACGGGGAGACAGAAGAAGAGCAAGAGGAGCGGATTTAAACCATCAAGAAACAAAACCCAAGGCGTGTGTGTCTGAGAGAGAGAGAGAGGGGTCACACTTTTGACCCCCCCCACGTTCAATTCAACAGTTCTTGGAAAGGGAACGCAAGGTTTTATTTTTCCCTTCAGATCACACTCACTGACCACCTCTTCTTCTTCTTCTTCTTCTTTCTTTTTTCCCCTTCCAGTAACGTCGGTTCGTTCATGCCATCCAAGACCCGTCCTGCAACAGCAACAGCAACAGCAGCAGCAGCAGCAGGTACCGATCAAACCAACAAGAATGTAAGTGTGTTTACGATATCTATTCAATTTACTGGCCTTTGTTTACCAAACAAAAGCCTACTGCCATTCTACATGCGCGTCACTCTCTCTCTCTCTCTCTCTCTGAAACTAACTCAACCAACCAAAATCTCTCTCTCTCTCTCTCTCTCTCTTTCTCTCTCTTTATATTTTTTTTTTCTTCCTTTCCCTCTTTCTTTTTGGTGTGTTGTGTGTGTGTATATGAATCCTTGGTTTTTCATGTTGCTGTCACTAAACCAACAACAACACAACCAACCACAACAACAACAACAACAACAGTCTTCTACAACACTACCACACACGGCTGCTCCCTTCCATACTGCGGCGGGTGGTCTATCTCCCAATCACAACAACTGCAATAACAGCAACAGCAGCGCCGTTTCCACGCCCAACACGGCTAGCGGTGCCAACGACAAGTCTGATTCTGGCTATGTTGACTACATGAACTTGTACATTAAGAATCTGGACGCCAATGTGAGCAACAATGACCTATTCAACCTGTTTCGAAAGTTTGGTCGCATTATCTCTGCAAGAGTCATGAGCAATCCGCAAACCGGTCAATCGAAAGGGTATGGCTTTGTCAGTTACGACAAGCCCGAAGAGGCATCTGCTGCTCTGCGAGAGATGAACGGTAAACTGATTGGGACCAAGCAACTCATTGTTGCTTATCACGAACCTAAAAAGCCTCGACAAGAGAAACAACAACAACAGAGTAGTAGTAGTAATAATAATAATAATACCAGTACCACCAACACCACTCCCAACACTAATAATAACAACAACAACAACAGCAATTCTTCTCCTGTCACGAACAATAACGCGATGCAACCGTTTATGGGTGCAATTGGGACGCCTGTGCGCAGTCCTCCCCATGCTTCAACAGACTATAACAGCAACAACAACAACAACCACAACAACAACCACGCGTCATCGTCGTCGGCCGCTGCCGCAGCTGCAGCCGCAGTCGCTGCAGTTTCGGCCACGAACCCTGCTACCGGCATGGGTGGAACACCGTATTCCTCGCATGATACCAGACATCCTTACGACATGTCAATGCCTTCTGTGCCTATCAACAGTAAGTTTTATTCGAACCGCCAAAAAGTGTTTTTTTTTTGCCATGTAGAGATCAACAACAAATGGAAGGAGTCTCGCGTGAAAAAACAAAGCAATATAACACATGTACATGTATATAGTGCCTTCCCAGGTCAATGGTCTTGGTATCGACAATGTAGACCAGATTGCCATGACGATGAAATCGGTTGGACAGAAACGACCTTCTCCGCCACATCCGATGCATCGCAAGGTTTGTTATGTGTTTCACAATAGATCACATTTCCACTCCACTCCCACTTGATATTTTCGTCATATGCACACTCACACTCACACTCACACTCACTCACTCACACACACACACACACTCACAGTTTTCTGCAGCGGAGTCCAACTTTGGGCAGCATCCATTGCGTCCCTCGCCACCGTTTTCCACCTCACCCATGTCTGGCGTCAGTAGCACAGGACCTTCTCTTGCGTCGTTGGCGTCTGGATTGAATGTTCAGCCTCGACCTAATAATCTACCGCCACATCAGCAACAGCCACATCAACAACAACAGCCACCTCATCCTCATCCTCATCATCATCAACATCATCCACAACAACAACAACAACAACAACAACATCATCAACCCCACCACCACCAATCACCACAACCACTACCATTACAACAACACCAACAAGCACACCATCAGGATTATCGGAACAATGGAGGTCGACCCACACTACGACGTAAAGGCTCGCTTGAATCTGTCAGTTCCGTCATGACCGAATCAAGCGCCTCGATGCAGCGACAACGATTGATGGAGGCGGTCATGCGATGTGGTGACTATGGCAAAGCCTTATCGGACATTGTCGACATGTTGTTGACATTGAAGCGCAAGGAACGATCACTGTGTCTCTTTAATCAAGACTTTTTAAAAGACAAGATCCAATTGGCGTTGGTTGCTTTGGATACGTTTAATGATGATGATGATGATGGCGACGATGACGACGACGAAGAAGTACAAGGACACAATGTAGACGTGGATGAGGATGATTATAATGTGTAAGTCATCCATGTTTGGGAGTGGGGGTTTTTTTTATGAGGACACAAAGAAGTGTGTGTGTGTGTGCTGATTTGTTTGTTTGTTTGTATCTTTCTTTCTTGGAACTGCGGGTCTATGGGGGGTTGTGTGGATCAGCAGACAAGGTGACATGACACCGTTGCCAACAAGTGCTACCACTATTGCCGGTGGTACTGGTGGTCATAGTCCAATGGCACCCGTATCACCTCTCGTGAGACAGCAACAACAAGCTCCTCAACGTGTATCCAAAGCCATTCCTATCGTTGCCCCGAAACCAGAACCTGTTGCTGCTAATGCTGCTGCTGTTGTTGCAAAATCACCATCTCCTCCCACTACCGCCAACACGACGCCTAATACTGCTGCTACGACGACGACGACAACAACAACAACGATGACCCACACCACTGCCACGACCCCCATTGCTGCTGCTGCTAGCAAGAAGAACACCAATGGAACAGCACCACCAAGCAGCAGTAGGAAGAACAACAACAAGAACAGTAGCAACCAAGAGGTCCAGGAGATTGAGCAGTTACTTTCTGCGTTGGAAGGCAAGCCTACCCATGAAAAGAAGCAACAGTTGGGTGATAGACTCTTCCCTCGTGTCAAGGTAAATACACATTGTTGTTGGTTGGGTGTTGCTCTATGGAAATGTAGTGTGCTAATAACCCCACTCTTGTCATCATCCCATCCTAAAGGCTACGGGAACCAAGCAAGCGCCCAAGGTCACGATCCGTCTCTTGGACACGATTGAACTCCACGAACTGGCACATCTGATGTTAGATAAAGACCAGCTTAAAGAACGTGTGGACGTTGCATTTGCTAGCTTAAAGTAGTAGTAGTAGTAGTAGTCATCGTCTCATAGTAAAGAACAAAAAAAAATTAGTAGCGATCTTCTTCTTCTTTTCTCTCACAGCCTCCCACCTCCTAACCCCCCCAAGTCTATACATACAATTTTTCCATTATATCCCATCTTCTTCTATCTTTTTTTTTCCTTCTTTTATATCCTTAAACAACACACACACACTTTTTCTTTTTTAGCACTACAAGCTGCAAATTTCTTTTTTCAGGCGGTATGTCTTGTAATATCTAGCTTTTCCTTTCTTCTTCTTTTTTTTTTGTTACCAGTGGCCCATATATATTGGACACGCATATATCAACATCATCCATTTTCCCGCTTTGTGTGTGTGTGTGTGTGTGTTTGTGCATGGACGTACATTTGACTTGGAGGCAAGAGATATTCCTCTATCACCGAGAAAAAGATGGAGACTTATCAAACTGCTGTAACAGTAGTAGTAGTAGTAGTAGTAGTAGTAGTAGAGGACGGCCACGTGTCCCATCGCTCAGCGTAATACAACCAAAAAAAAAAGAATCCCCTTTAGAGTCAAAGTTTAAAGTTTTCTCTCTCTCTCTTTCTCAAAGCAATCTTGAAATACAGAGGATACAAGGGAATCAATAAGCATTTCAACGAAATGCTAGGTCAAGATCCGGGGGTAATTATTTTCAATGCAAGGAATTGATATTGTTTAGCTGTAAAAAGTTTACTGCGAATGACCCAACTTTTGCTGACCAAGAAACAACCCCTCCCCCTCCTGGGAGGGGTCAAGAAGGATTTAAGACGAGACACTTCACGCATCCAAAGTTTTTTACACGAATGTCGCACCTTGGGTAGTCTCAGAGTAAAAACAAAAACAAACCCTTTTTTTTTTTTTTAATATTTTGGAATGGAGTGGGGAGGCGTCTATATAAGAAAAAACTAGAGGGTGTGGGTTTGAGTTCGGTGGGATGATATATATTCACTTTTTGGCTATCAAAAAAATCGCTTTAGGGATTCAAGCATTTTGAAGTGTTTATGCGTGGTCGTGAAGAACTGGTCTTGCTCATTCCGAAAAGTCACGAATATAAGCAAGAAACATCGACACTGATGCCTGCAGATGTGTTTGCACAACGAACAATGCATGATCAGCAGCAGCAGCAGCAGCAGCAGCAGCCTCAGCAGGAACAATCACCGTAAGAGGTTCATTTTACCAAGAGAAATATGTATATCCTTCAACTTATGCTGTCTTGTGGAAAAAAAAGTATCAGTAGCAGTGGCAGTAGTAGTCAAGGATCATTGATGCTGGCGGAACGGGTGCCGGTCGATCCGAAGGATCAGGAACTGAAAAAGGTAAACTACATATATACCCGTTTTACCCCGCACACAACCGGATCCAAAAGTAATGTGTATATGCAACCCATTTAGCTACGATCCAACAGTGTTTCTGTCTTTCTCATTACTGGTTATGCAAGATACAAGTGCCCTTATATCTACGTAAAGTATTCATTCTATAGATAGATATAGAGAGTCTGTTTTGAAACTTACTTGAAGCGACTTATCGTCCATATTTTAGAATCGATCATCGGATGATTTATACCCAATGACACTAGATACAACCGAAACATGGAGGAGAAAAGGTAAACATAAGGTGGAGGTGGGGGGAGGGGGAAGGCATTATGTTTAATTGCGGGAAATTTTTTTTGTCAGATGTGCCGTTGTGGGAAATGGTCAAGGAGATCTTTGACGTTGTCATTGAAGAAAAACAAGAAACATGTCCTCCCAACCCGTTCAAACTCGATTACTCTTATTTGGATACCCTGCCACTTGAAGAATCGGTCCTCTTGACAGGCGCACTATTGAACTTTTTGCAGAATATCTGGATCCAAGCAGACCCAAACAAAGATTTTGTGGATGCAGGTAAAAAAAAAAAGAAAAAGCCTCTCTATTTTTTTTTTTTCTACAGTGCCCCAATTTTATAAGAATACATATTTATTTAATACATGGTGATGGTGATAGTTTATGAAGATATCAAGGCATTGCAAACGCGTCATCTCACTGCCATGTACGAACACACGGCGAGAAACATCATCAGCTTGGAACAAAATTAAATAAAAGCACATGCCTAAAGTGTGTAACCATCTACACAAAACCTTTCATTTTCAAATTGTTTGCACACACAGAGAAAGAGAGTGTGTGTTTCTCTTTTCCTATCAAGCCTATCAAGAAGCAAGTTATATATATACATGAATCGCCAACACCACCTTGAAAAAGAACAGCAAGACGAGAACAATGACGAACAAGTTGATCCACCCCCCTTACCCATCCAATTCCAACTGTTATATAATTGGGAAGCCAGTGCCGAACATGACGCGCTACTGAAAAACAAGATCCGCATGTTTCCTACCTTTAAATGCGACTGGCATGGCACAAGCGTGTATCGCATCATGGATCACGATCTAGGCCACCATTGCATCTCTGCGGGTCAGTTGTGGAAAGCCTGTGGCCTGACCCTGACCGAGGGCCTGTTTTTATTCAAACTAACGCAGGATCATTACCAAGTGGATTTCTTGCTACCGCATTTCCCATTCTGTGATGTGTGGGTGTCTGTGGAAAAGGCACGGCACATGGTGTCGATCTTGGGCGTCGAGGCCGAGTTGCAAAACCTGTTGACGCATCAATTGGACGAGGCCTTTTCGACGGATAATTTGGCACGCAACGAGTTGGTTCACAATTGGAAAATCGAGTCGATTCCCAACGTTGTTTATTCGACGCGTGCCTTGCTGGAGACGCCGGTGTTGGATGATGTGTCGATCTTGGTGGGATCGCGCAAGATACGGACACAGATTTCAAGAATTCGACAGCCCGGCATGGTGTGTAAGGATCGGTTGGAGAATGGATTGGTGCGTTGGGCTGTGTATGCCTATGAAGCGTTTCATCATCAGCAGCAGCAACAACAAGAGCAAGAAGGAGAAGGTTTTTATAATGATGATAGCGTACAGACGGATAAGTACGGGAAATCGGTGGCCAATGCAATGTGGGACGTCATGCAAGGACTGTTGTACGATTTACAAACATTGGCACTGGGTGGCAGTGGTTCTAATAATAATGATAATAATAATAATGCAACTACGGCTCGGGTATTATCGGACAACATGGTCGTCGGGAACATGCCGCTCAAGCGTGAATACTTGGCACAAGGCGCATCGTTACAGAACGTGTACTTGGCAAGCATGGTTGAAAAGATACATCATGAAACCCAAGCACTCGGATTATTATCGGCGTCCTTGATCCATCACACTCAAAGAAGAAGAAACAAGCATGATCATCATCGAGCATCGTCCATGACCCTAGCTAATAATAACAGCAATAACAGCACGAGCGATTATCATACTTCAATCCCAGCAGCAGCAGCTCCGACAGCGACAACGACAACGACAACGGGTGGTGGGACAACCGGTGTAAGCGTCGATCCACACATGATGTTGCACGACCGAATGGATTCATTAGAACAGGAAATCTATCGCATGAAACGCAAGTACAAGCGACGAACAGACGACATGCAATCCGAGTTCCAGGAGTTGCAGCAACAAATCCTGGCGCTGGAAGCTTGGAAGATTCGCAGTGAACGGGCACGAAGGAGCGAGCGGATATGGATCCTGATGATATCATTGTCTCTGTTTGTCGGCTTTTGGACAATTCGAGCAGTAACAGCAGCAGCAGCAGCAGCAGTCTAGTGCTATTACGCTCGTCCCGTTCGTCCCATTTCCCATTTCATTAGTGCTTGTGTAACACTAGGATCGTCGTCTTTTAGCGTTGTGTTTATAATACCATTCCCTCCCCCCTTACTGTACATTTGCATACCCTCTCTCTCTCTCTCTCTTTATTAGTATTATAATACCTTTCTTTCTCTCCTCCTCTTTTTTTTTTAACATTACCACTAAAGGAAACGCCTCCACCCTATATCCTTTTGCATGTCGCGGTCTTTTACAGTTTTAAAAACAACAGCAGCAGTAGATATTGACGACGACCCTAAAAACAATATCGAGTTACAACAACCGAAAAAAGACCTCGAGCGTAATGTCCACAACAACAAAGATCAGTTTAATGTAGCAACTACTACTACTACTACTGCGAGTAGTCGCCATCCATCTCGTCAACATCATGCACGGAGTTCATCGACCTCGTCGTTTGTTCTATTTAAAGCACCTATTCAACCAGATACGACCACTGCGTGCCAAGACACCAACACTACTGACGATCATAGCAGCATAATAAACAACGTCCGCTCCTCTGAATTGAGCAGTGCAGCTCGCTTGGCGGCACAGGTTATAAAACGCTTTAAAAATTTGATTGGTTGGGGGGTGGCAATAAGATCCATTGACTTGGGGTTATACGATATAGCTAACGTGTAAAAATGGGGGTTTCCAATAGGCTCTCCCTTCATTGCTCATGTCTGTTGTGGGGCTTGTCGCTGCAGGGTGGATGATGGACGTGTTTCAGGTATATATATATACATGATCAAGCTTGGCCCTCTATTTTGCGTGCTGGTAAAACTCTCGGAGCAACGACTTATACACATTGTTTTTTTTTAGCATTGGGACGTATTTGTGCAAGTATCGGAGCTGTTCATCCTCGTCCCTGTTCTCCTCAATTTGAAAGGCAACCTCGAGATGAATCTTGCTGCACGATTTTCAACTTCGGTAAGACCTTTTAAACTTTATGCATCTCTCACACCCCCCTCCTCCCCTTACATTATCTTATTTAAACGTATATAAAACGAACATAAAACAAAGGCCAACTTGGGTGACTTGGACCATCCTGACACACGAAATGCATTGATATGGGGCAATTTATCGCTCATCCAAGTCCAGGCCCTGATCGCTGGTTCGATTGCAGGCGTCTTTTCTTTCCTCTTGGGTATCCTTGAACATCCCAATGAACCTGCTACTGTTTCTGAATGCATCTTGATCATCTCCAGCTCCATGATCTCTGCTGCCGTTTCTTCTTTGGTGCTTGGTGTCTTTATGTGTCTTTTGATCATTGTCAGCCGAAAACTTGAAATTGATCCAGGTAAATGGATAAATAAATATATATATATATATATATATATTTATTTATCAGATCGGTGTTACTGACACAAAAACTCCGGTTATCATTCTTTTTTGGGCACATTTTTGTTTTTAGACAACATTGCATGTCCTATGGCTTCATCGTTGGGTGATGTCGTTACACTGGGTATCCTTGCAGGCTGTGCTCAAGCACTTTTAGCCAGTGTTGGTAAGCTACTACTACTATGAACTACTACTACCATCCACTCGTATCATCTGACAGAAAAAAAAAACATTGACGCTCGGAATAGATTCCATGCTCAGTCTATGCCTGTTTTTTGTCATGGTGTGTTCGATCCCATTCTTTGCCAGGGCAGTGTGGCGAAACAAGCATGTCAAAGAACTGTTATATTCAGGATGGTCGCCTATCATTTTTGCTATGCTCATCTCTAGGTAAATTTTTACCTTCCGTTTGCGATACAACTTTTTGTATAATAACTTTGCATGATTTTTTTTTTTTTTTAGTTTCGCTGGCCTCGTACTTGAACGTTATGTGGAACAATTCAAGGGACTCGCCATGCTCACACCGATTCTGTGTGGTCTGGCCGGCAACTTGGGCTCGATATATGCATCACGTATCAGCACCTGTCTGCATGCAGGTGCACAGGAACAGTACACCTTGGTCGAGTGGACTTTGATGGCCATGAATGTACCGGTTCAACTCTTGTTTTTGGCCTTGACTTGGATCCTCGAATTGGGTCATTTGGACTTTACTCTCGCGTTCGGTGTTACTTATTTCATCGTTTCCATGCTCAGTGTAGGTTAATTTTCTTTACAAAGGAAAAAAAAAAAAAAGACAAACTTTTATACTAAATCCTCCCTTGTTTAGACCTTTATTGCACTGAAAATGGGAAAATACATGACATTGACATTTTGGAAACGTGGCTGTGACCCGGATAACTACGTACTACCTTATCTGTAAGTTAATCATCCACCCTGTCCCCCATGATTTTCAACTCACACACACACGACATGCTTCTTTGTATAGAACTGCAATAATTGATGTCATTTGTACAAGTCTTCTCGTCCTATCGTTCTCCTTCTTATCCTCTAATGATCTTGCCGATCTTGCCACCTCTACGCATAGTTCATCCTAAAACTTAATATTTATTCATTTTGCATTAATCTCTCTCTCTTCCATCTCTTGTTCTTTTTATTTCCTCTTATTGTAATGTATATATAACTTACTCGTCATTTTTGCACACTCACTCACTCACTTACACATCCACACGCACACACACACACACTCTACACGCACTATCATTTTGGGCCCCCTCTCTCTCTCTTACCAGGAATTCCCACGCCGCCCTGTCCAATCCTATCCAGCAGTAAGCGCTTTGGAAAACCCTAAAAAAAACGGTTTCCCCTTCTGTTCCTCTTTTTTTTCATTTGAATCGCACATTTATATACATACATTTTAGAAAGTAAACCAATACCATAATGAATTTCTCGTGTACGTTTTGGTCAGTCTGGCCGCGTTATTATACCCATGTTTCCTCTGTCACAATCCGATCGAGGAATAGTGTACTTGTAAGAAGTATTGCTACCAAAACCCACGAAAAGCCTGCTGCCCATGCCTTTTACGATGACAAGATCGTCACCGTATGTTTTAAAATACATTGAACAACAACAAGTGGAGATAAACTAAAAAAAAAAAAAATGTATCTTTATAGTATGCCAATCGACCTATACGCCCTGTTACACTGAGCCAACTCGTTCGTTTCGGTCAACCACCATTGACCAAGAAAAGTTTACGAGAATGCGCCCACTATGCTCGCACTGAATTACCTGTTCGTTTGGCTCGACGTGTACGTGCATTCCAAACGTTGCCCTTTATTGTCGGTACCAACCCCTACATTAAGGAAATCTATAAGCTTTATTACGAGTCATTCGAAAGCTTAGAACCCTATTCCCACGATCGCGGCGCGGTGCCTGCCAATGACGATATCGAGTATTCAGAAAAACTCAAGGATTTAGTAGATCGGCATGCTGATAATATCCCTACACTTGCTCGAGGTATTTTTTTTTAAAAAATGGGGATCTGTAAAAAAAACCAGGAGGGGTGTTTGGATGATGGCTGGGTTATCACAGTAGTTGAACGGGATGATGCTAATTGCAATATCCATTATACACAGGTTTTTTGGAATGCAAACTATACATGCATTCGCAAGACGTGGCAGCGTTTCTGGACGACATGATCCACGCTCGGATAGGCATCCGACTGATTGCGGAACAAATGATTGCTTTGGTCCGACAAGAACAGCAACAAGTAAATAACAACAGTTCGTACATTGGCATTATCGACACGCAATTGAATCCTGCGGAACTAGCAAAGACGTGTTCGGATTTCGTAGCCGAACTATGTGAATTCAACTATGGGTCGAGTCCAGAAACCATCATTGATGGCCACACCGACGCTACGTTCACCTATATCCCCGTCCATCTCGAGTACATTTTGACCGAATTATTAAAAAATGCTCAACGCGCCACGATCGAGTATTCCAAAAAGCGTGACATGGCATCATCATCACCACCACCGCCCATCCAGATCACCGTCAGTCATGGCTATGAAGATATCTCGATCCGGATTCGTGATCAAGGTGGAGGTGTTGCTGAGGATGATTTGAACCAGGTGTTTGAGTATTCCTATACCACGGTGGCCAAGGCGGCTGATGATGAGGACCCTTCAAGTATCTTTACGGGTATGGCGGAAATGGCAATGCAAAGTGGTATTGGTGGACCATTGGCTGGATTAGGGTAAGTTTTGAAACAGAGTGGGGGAGGGGGCGCTCTGTCATGAGGGAGAGAAAAAATTGCTGTTAATGTGAGGCGTTTTTTGTTTTAATGTTATTCATACACTGTTGATATGTAAAAAAATAGATTCGGTTTGCCATTGGCTCGTATGTATGCTCGGTACTTTGGAGGATCATTTACACTGGTATCCATGAATGGTTATGGATGCGACGTTTTCCTCAAATTGAAACATATCGATCAATCCATGGCAGAACTAGAAATTTAAATAATAAAAAAAGTAATATAGTCTTTACTTTTAGACAAACACTCTATACACACACACACATTGTTGCTTTTTTTATGGTATTATCAAAGCAGATATGTCCAAGACATCTGGTTGGAATACATGTTCATTAGATGATTTTTGTACTAATTACATAAGCCTGAGACGCTTATGTTATAAGCCAATATGCTATAGCATACCTTGACTGTGTAGCACAGCTAAGCCCGATGCACGCACAAGTTAGCCTTTGCGGCACTAAATGTGATGTCAGCATAGTCTTAACATAAAAAAGAAGAATACGTATGCAACTGGAGATAAAGCTTTATGATGCTCATTCAAGTGTAAAGGATGTATATATCACATAAGTACAACGAGGAAAACCAATAGGTAAAACGTCTGGTCGACATGTTCTACCAATCACTACAAAATACCAGCATTCTCGCGCACTTGGATCGATCGGCACATCACCTATGAAGGTTGTACGCGGGTTCTTTGGTAAAAGAGGGGATATTGCGCGTTGTTGTCGCAATCTGGAAGGAGGAGGAGTCAATCCAATGGCATGGTTATGTAGATCTGGAAACTGGCAACCCGAAACACGTAGACAGAGATAAACACACAAGATTATTTTGCCAGCTAGAACGGTTATGGAAGAGAAGCCTTGAGGTAGAAAGCGCATTACTTTCACAAAAAAAGTCATTATTCCGCGAAAGTATGCAAGGATATCGACGACAAATAATGTGCATCAATCAAGGCGATCTCTAAGAAGAAGCACCGCCCATATACGTAAAAAGATTGGGGTTTAACATACTATATACTTCGGAAAGCAACTGGAACTACCATTCGTTATAAAAAAACAGCGCCTTAGTATGCAAGTTAACATATTTTGATGCTTCGTAAATTATGTTGATTCATTCGGCGTTTTGAAGCACCTAATAGTAGAAAATTCGATTTACTTTAACATATTAGCGATTATGGCCAGCTTTATGGCTCCATACATTGTCATTCAATTCTACCAGAATGGCTTTTTGTGTTATGCATGCACGTACGGGGATTCAAAGAAATCCCCTAATATATAAACAAAACAATGTACTTACCGTTGTATCACTATGACCTTACTAGATCAATCAAAGGATTCAGCCTTGTTGTCGAACGTTAACGATATGATATCAAACAGTAATTATATGATTCAACCCGGGGCGGGGGGCAAATTCAAGCATGGAAACAGTCGCTCTTTTGCAAACGAGCTACGGACATTTCAACTGTGGAGTGTGCGTGTCGTCGTGCAGATTCTATGAGAGTTTTTCAGGCACATAACTCGATCAACGTGTTCCAAGTTTTTCAAAAGAGTTCCTGCTGTTGCAAGACTTTCTGATGTGCCCGATACTGATATTGCTACGCAACATGTTTCACAACAATTTCATTGTATTACATGGTCTGTGCATTATGCTTGCGTTAAACAGTTGCCTAGATATTATGTTTAGAATCGATCAAGTCATTGCAAAGTAAAAGTGATTACGAATCTAATGTAAGCCATATGACATTGTCAGCATTGTATAAGAACAGGGACATAGCACGCCAAAACATGAGCTCTTTCCTAGCTGTCAAATGAAGCGGCGAAGACGATTGAACACAGTCAGAAAGAAAATGGATATTGCAAGGTGAAGCGACACGCAAATATCTTCACAAGGAAAGAAATTGTAAATGAGTTTAAGCAGGACATAAAGTAAAAGAGCAGGTTTTTATTCATTGTAATATTAGAGTAAAGAAACATTTTATAAAAGACAAAAGTTATCGTTATGAATATCAATAGTCGAAGGGTACAAATTTTATTAAAAGAACACAATCAGTGGACAATAAAGACAAATAATAAGAACGCGATTTTACAAAGTGACCTCAACAAGCAGTTCGCACAACCTGCAGGCTATACAAAAAGCATGAAGAAAGTAAGAAGAAACAGAAGAAGTATGTAAAAGGGGGAGGAAAAGAAAGCCACCAATGCCTCGGCCTGGGAGTCCCATCTCCCACACATTTGGCTGGGTCAATCAACCACAAACCCAGCCATCATGGTACAAACGAGTGGGAACCATGACGTACGCTACGTTTCGAGAGTCAAGTGCAAGCAATCGGTTGTGGATTGCCTGTGAGTGGGGAAGGGGGAAGGGAAGGACGGAAGGAAGATGGAAGGGTAGACGGAAGGGAAGGAAGGGAGGGAAGGACGGAAGGGAAGAGGAAAGGGAAGAGGAAAGGGAAGGGGTGGGGGAAGAGGAAAGGGAAGAGGAAAGGGAAGGGGTGGGGGTAGGGGAAAGAATTGACTCTCGAAACACCCAAAAAAGAAAAAGAAAAAAAATTGCTGCTGTTGTCGAATGCTGAAGGAGCTGCTTACTGGATACTCGGATGCTGGGAGCCGAACACTGAAGCTGGGAGCTGATTGCCGAGTGTCGATTGCCGAGAGTCGAATGCCGAGAGTCGAATGCCAGAGAGTCGAATGCCGAGAGTCGAATGCCGAGAGTCGAATGCCGAGAGTCGAACGCGATTTACGGTGGCACCTGGCTCCTCATGCGAGCCCCACCATGGCAGACCAGACCAGACCAGCAGACAAGGCATCCAACCGAAAGGACACTACCATATTTCTATGGCGAAAAACCGAAAAGGATTTCTCCGTCCTCTGATCTCGCCTGAAGACCGGTTGTGACCAACACCGTTGAACGCTAGACTAGACAGCCCAAGCAGGGACCGGTTGTAGGCAGCCAGGGGGACCACGGGAAAAAGGCTGAGACCAAGACCGACAGAGGCAAGACCAGGACCAAGGGAAGAGCCAGAGCGAGGGGAAGACCAGAACCAAGGGAAGAGCCAGAGCGAGGGGAAGACCAGAACCAAGGGAAGAGCCAAGAGAAAGACCAGGAGGATCCAAGGGAGTGAAGGGAAAAGAAAAGTGAAGGAAAGAAAGAGTGAAGAGAAAAAGGGAATGGCCTGAAAAATGTGGGCGTATTTACATTTTTTGAACTCAAACCCCTGTCTTAAAAAAACACGTCACGTGACTTGTGATTCGTCATTCAAAAACATGTGAGAAAGCAAAGGGTAGGGAAGAAAAAAACATGTGCAGAAGAGACATGGTCAAGCGGTCAAGCGGTCAAGAAGAAGGTGTATGTGGTCCGCGTGTATTGATTGTCCTACGAAATATGTTTCACCGGTATCATGCAGGCCGTGCCCCGACGATGTCGCCGCCTGTTTCTAAATAGGAAGATACGTGCACCCGTCGGGCCACAGGCGCACAGACAGGGTTTACAGGGTCTCAGCTATTGTAACAAGAAGCTCACTTAAATAGAAGCCATATACACCAAAAAGTAAGGACGCAAAAATAGATGACCGTGCAGTACACGTGCGCCAAAGCAAAGTGTACGAAACAAATTGCCAAGGACAAAGTGGTGAAGCTCGGTAACGGTAGGAGAAGGAGGATCTGGTTTACAGCCCTTCTATTTGATAATAGCCTTTAACAAACAGACCTGGGCCGGTGTTGGCTGCCTCATTCTGAATGT